GTGCGTGTGCCAGCGTGTGCAGAGTATGTGTGTGTGAGTGTGCAGTGTGTGTGTTCGCAGAACAACTCTAACAGTGGGGTAGCTGGCGAAGCTGGTGTCGGCCTCGGCTGGCTCAGGCCCCGCCACTCTCACCAGGAACAGAAGTTCTGCCAGCGCTACGACCAGCTCATGGAGGCCTGGGAGAAGAAGGTGGAGCGCATTGAGAACAACCCCCGGCGGCGGGCCAAGGAGAGCAAGGTGCGCGAGTACTACGAGAAGCAGTTTCCCGAGATCCGCAAGCAGCGGGAGCTACAGGAACGCATGCAGAGGTGAGTGGGGGGCCGTGCCGCCCGACCCAGCAGCCCACCTTCCTCTCACTCAGCTGAGACATGCCCAGGGGCCAGGTCAGCTTGTAGGACTGTCAGCCAGGGTCTCAAACTGGGGCCCTGGGGCTGTGCCAGCGCCTTGGGCGAGTTCTTGGGACCTGCTTGGCCTCAGTTTAGAAGAAAAAACACTTGGGTGAGACAAGCACGCTTGTCCCTGCCTTCTTCACTCATGGGGCCCTGTACAGCCCTATAGGTGTTGAGTTTGAGATCCCTGGCCGTCTTGCTGGGAGGCGGAGGACTGAGTGAGCCCCATGCAGTGTGCCCAGTGGTGCTCACAGTCAAGTCCTCCTTGTATATAGAAGCGGGAGGTCCCATCAGTCCCTGGGCACCTTTATTACAAGGGGACTTGAGTCACAGAGGCTGACCTGGCCCCAAATCTGTGTGGTTGGGCTGTTTGAGGGTCCTGTGAGGATGACTGAGTGTGGGATTATGCCCAGACCTGTCCTAACTAAGTCTGTCCCTCTCGCTTTACAGCAGAGTGGGCCAGCGGGGCAGCGGGCTCTCCATGTCGGCTGCCCGCAGTGAGCACGAGGTGTCTGAGATCATCGACGGTCTCTCTGAGCAGGAGGTGAGTGTCTATGACGTCCATGAGTGTCCCTGCCAGCCCGAGGCAGGTAGTGTGTGGACGGAGCCAACGACCATGGGTGGGTGAAAGGTTGAAGGTGGGGAAGGGAATTAGAGGCTGACCCGAGACCTCTCAGACTCCTGGGCAGCAGAGGCGGGTTCTGCTGGGAGAGGCCTTTGCCTGGGACCAGGTCTCTGCTCAGCCATTTCAGGAGGCCACCAAGGTGGACAGGGAGAGTCTGGGTTTCCGGGCTGCTCCTGGTGGGCTGGAGAGGCTCGGGGGTGGGGGCCTATTCTTCCTGAGTCGGGTGAGATCAGGGGACCCCCCCCTCCCTCCGCCTCAGCTGTAGCTGGCTGACCTTGGTTGGGCCATGCCTGCCTGCCTCCCCGGGAAATGGTGAATAATTGGCCCTAATGGGCCACTGCAGAGAACTGGGTAAACAGCCCAGGTAAGCAGCTGCTCAGGGCCTCTTAACCGCCATCAGGATGCGTGAGGAGAGAGCCCAGCTCCGCCACGCATGGTGGGGAAGCATGGTTCTCAGCAGGCAGCTTCCAGGAGCGGGAGACCACCCTGGGGGTGGGAAGATGGCGCTGTGGCCCTCCCATCTCTGTGATCCCACGTGAGTGTGGCCCTACCTTGACTGCGGTGTGGTGTGCAGCTCGAGCTTCCAGGGCAGGAATCAGGACTCTGCTCCTGCTGCAGGTGGCTTGCCGGGCGTTGTGATAGCTGGCTCACCACAAAGCCGCCAGCCCAGCTACCCTACTCTTGAGGCCTCAAACCACCGTCTCTTGCACATCACCTGGGTGCCGCCCCTCCCTGTCCCTGGTCCTCCTGCTCTCTCTGACCCACCACCCTCCCTGCCCCTCAGAACCTGGAGAAGCAGATGCGTCAGCTGGCGGTGATCCCACCTATGCTATATGATGCCGACCAGCAGCGGATCAAGTTCATCAACATGAACGGGCTGATGGGTGACCCCATGAAGGTGTACAAGGACCGCCAGGTCATGAACATGTGGAGCGAGCAGGAGAAGGAGACCTTCCGCGAGAAGTGAGTCCCAGCTCCAGACGCCCAACTTGCGATGCCGTGTTACCGTTGTCATTGTTTTGAGCTCCCATGTCCAGCGGAACAAATCACTGCCCGGTCCTATGCCTTCCCTGGGATGGGTTGTAGACCGGACCTTTGTGATCCGTGGAGTTTTCATTGACGGATTTTCAGAAGTAGATTACCAGGCCTTTCTTCCTAGTCTGTCTGAGTCTGGAAGCTATGCTGAAACCTGCTGAGCATCAGAGTGGCCCGTAAGCCTCCATAGACACATGGGTGGTGGCTGCGCAAGAGGCGTATGGGCTGGGAATTGCATGGGGGTCTCCTACGTGGAAGTGGGGGAGAATTCTACCACCTAGACACACTGCCTCCAGGGTTGAGGTCTAGAGGCAGCTTTATATGAAACAGCCATGGATGTTGTAAGGAATCAAGCAAGCAACCATGGGGACAGGAACGCGAGCAATAATGCCGTGGGTGCACATTGTGCCCTGAAAGTGGCTGCGTGCTCAGTGTGGACCGTGTCCTTCTTGTTCCTCACAGCAGTCAGCCAGATTATTCACATCACACAAGTGGGAACACAGAGGCCCAGAGAGGTGGAGAGACTTCACAGAGGTCACACAGCTTACAACTAGTGGAGGTGGGACTTATCCCCCCAACGTTGGGTTGCGGGGGTTGCCTGCTCGGGACAGGAGTCTGGTCCTGAGAGCAGAAGCTATGGTGGGCTTCTAAACGAGCAAACAGAATGATGAGCATGTCGGGGAGGTGAGTGTGTCGCCACTGGATGTGGTGTCCAGACTTCAAGAGGATCCTCCCTTTATTCTGGTGGTGCTGTGGGATATTGGACAGTTCACACTCACCAGCCACTGCTTAGGAGAAGGACGAGGCAGTCTGCTTCAGTGAAGATGTAGTCTCATCACCCTATGTAGGGTTGCTGTGAGTTGGAATTGTCAGAATGGCGGCGGGTGGCTCTTTGTTGTTGTTGTTGTTAGGTAGTAGTGTTTAGACGCCTTTCTGCATAATCACCTACATAGCCGCAGCATTCTAATTAATTTTTAAGCAATGTATTGTGATTTGGGTGAAAGTTAACAGCCAATGGGTTTTCCATTCAAAACTTCATACACATTTTATTCATGATATTGATTACAGCCCTCACAGTGTAACAGCATGCTCTTCCCAATTCCTCCCTGGGTTTCCTGATTCCATTCCTCTTCCCCTGCCCCTTACTGCCTTCTGAGCTATATCCTTGGGTAAATGCTCCCCTCTTGAGTTTGTGTAGTTGGTTGGTTTAAAGAATGCATTCCCCCCTGGGTATTGGTGTTCACTGCATGGGCCTGTCACTTGGCCAAGCCATGGGAGATGAGTTGATTTCTAACCTTTGAAGGGCTTCTAAGGGCAAAATAATCTAAGGGCAAAATAGGGGTCCACCATAAGCCTTGCCTTTTTTTATGATTTTAAGTTGTGTTTCACAAAGTTTTCTCCCATCTTTATGGGACGTTGTTATGTGGTCCCTTTCAGAGCAGTTGATAGTGGTATCTGGTAGTTGGTTTAGGTCTTCCGGTCTCAGATTCATGGATAATGATGTTCATGTGGTCATTAGTCCTTTGACCTAATTGTATTGATGTGTCTTTGATTTTCCTGACTCTTCTTGCTCCGTGTGGGGAAAGACCTTAGATGGCTCACGATCCTTATAGGGTTTTTATTGCTTAATCTTTGGAAGTAGATCACCAGACCTTTATTCCTAGTCTCTCTTGGTCTGGAAGCTTTACTGAAACCTGTCCACCATGGGTGACCCTGCTAGTGTTAGAAATACCAGTGGCACACCTTTCAGCATCGCAGCCACACACATGCCAAGGTGGGTCCTAAAGGATAGTCCCACCAGGTCACCCTCCTTTGAGGACAGTTGCACCCCTCCCAGGGGTATAGAGAACCAGGTGTGGGAGGCTGGGTACCTGAGGTTAGAGTGGGCTAGGAACACACTACTCTCCCCCTGACACCAGTGTGGACACCACTCTGCTGTAGTCATGCCCTGCAGCCTCAGAGGAGGGTCACAAGTGGGTGATGGTCAGGACCCAGACTTTTTCTGCTTTCTCTGCAGTAAGGAAGGTAGAGGTGTGTGAGTCTCCCGGGGCTCTTGTTCCAAAATCCCACACATCAGGGGTGCTGGGAGAGCATGTGTTTTTGCTCTCGGCTCTGCACATCTAGGACCCCAGGTGTCAGTGGGCCTGTTTCCACTTCTGGTGGTCTCATGTGCCCCATGGCTTATAGATGCTTCTTCATGTGATCGTCCTGCCTCTGCGTGTCTGTCTGGGCCCCTTCTCCTCTGAGGATGCCATTTGTATTGGATTAGGACCCACCCGACCCCAACATGACATCGTTAACTAACCAGACCTTCAGAGACCCCAGTCACAGAGCTCCTGGGGTTAGGATGTAGCCTGTGGGGACAGAGTCAGTCCACACAGGTGGTCCAGGGGTTAGAGTGGTAACCTGTGTGTATGGGTGTGTGAGGGGGCATATTCAGTCCACACAGGGTGTTCCTGGGTTGTGGACGAGGCTGCGGCGAGTCCGTGTGGCCCCCAGACCTAGGGTGGTGCGTATACAGGGCAGTGGGCCATCTGTGTGGGAGGGGCTAGAATGGAAACCACTGCTCCTTACAATGGCTGTTTCTCTGTGAACACGCTTAAACCCCGAGGGCCGGTCCAACATGTGTCCTGGAGTGCCCCTCACACCACACAGATCTGGTGACCTTTAGCAGGAAGAGGCATTTTGGGGAGCAGGGCCAGGACAAGTAAGGGTTTCATCTCCCACAAGCCCACCAGACCCCACCCCTATGTCTCTGCCTTGTGTTCACGTGAAGCCGTCCTTTCACTGTGGAGTCGAGTTCTGTGTGTTTAGTCTCAAAGCAGCTAAGGACAAGAACTGTCATTGCATTAGAGACTTCTGAGCCCTCCCCCTCCCTGGCAATCTTGATACTTTTGGAGGGTCCTGTGTGTATTTCTAGACTGGGACTTTATTGTCAGAGAGAGCAGTAGCTCACAGGGCATTTGAAAGTCATGTGACCATGTCCTAGAGCCCTCCCACTGAGCTGAGGTCCCTGGGGCTGGCCTCTTCTCCTTCCGCCTTCATTTTGCTGTCTGTCTAATGGGTAGCACAGTAGTGCCTCCTCCTTGGGATGTTGCAAGGTGCCGAGTGCGGGTCACCAGGGGTACAGGTGAGGGTCGGGGCAGGGAAATGGTGATGCGGGTGTTTCCTGGTCTCTGCCTGAAGTCAGGAGGGGAGCAGGGGACGGAGGCTTTCAGCTCTGCAAGCTGTCCAAGTGGGATCCCCAGGCGGGGCAGCCAGCCACCCTGAGCATCTCCTCTTCTCCCGAGAGAAGAGGGAGTTCCACGTTCTCCAGTGTCTCCTTGGGAAGCGTGGCAGGGGCCCCCTGGCCTCGCGCCCAGACATCTGGCAGGCCACTTGCCCAATCTCCCCGAGATGGGAGCCTGACCCTGGGGTGGCAGGACCAGTGACTCATCCAGCACCCTGAGTGACCAGAACCCCGGGCCCTGACGTTGCAGCCCACCTCGTGGTTTCCCAGCAATCCTCCACTTCTTGGGAAGCCAGCTGGCGAGGCGCCAGTTCTTGCCACCGCCCTTCGGATTCAGTCCTTTCTGGCTGCTCCTTGGCTGAGGATCTGGTCCCACCTCCGGGGAGGCCCCAGCCTTAGGGCTATGACCCTGCCGGTGGCTGGGCTGTGTCCCCAAGCAGGCCCTGGGAGACCAGGAGAAACACAGCCAATCCAGCAAGGGGGAACCGTCAGCAGCTCCCTGGAATGTCCTCATTTTTCCTGGAAGCCGTCTCCAGCAGCACAAACAAATCCATTTTCAAAGGCGCTGCAGCTGGTGACTCACTCCCAGGCACGCCCTCCCTACCCTCCGCTCCACCCGCCGCTTCCCACACCCCCGTCTAATTGCTGCCATGGGCGGTGCCCGCCGGGTAGCCATGGCAGGCGCCCGGGAGCTCGGCCGACGAGCAGGGGCGCCCCCCTCGGCCCGGCCTCATGCCCACCCCCTTCTCCCCACAGGTTCATGCAGCACCCCAAGAACTTCGGTCTGATCGCCTCGTTCCTGGAGCGGAAGGTGAGTGGGCCCTTGTTGACAGCCCCCACTGGGCCCCTGTGAGCCCGAGCCTGTGGGCAGCCTGGCTGAGGACCCTTCCTCCTGGCCCGCAGCCTCTGCTCGTGCCTGCCTCTGGCCGGTCTTCCCTCTCTCCTCTTCTTCTATTTTCCTTCCTTATTACCTCCCTCTCTCTTTTCCTCCCTCCTTCTTCCGTCTCTTCCTTCCTTCCTTCCGGGAGCGGAACGGAGCTGAACAGCAGGCCCCACCCCAGCGCACGTGCACACGGGGGCGGAGCACCAGACTGTAGCGTCCGTGAAACCCCAAGACCATGTGTGGGCAGGTTCCAAGGGCCCTTGTGCCAGGCTCCTCTGCCAGCTCCTCAGATGTGGCGTCCATACACAATTGGGGCGGCTCCTGGGCAGGCTACAACACAAGGCTAACCAATCCAGGCCTTACAGCCAGGGTAGCGTGCCTTTGGACTTGGGTTGGATGGTCCTGTCTAGGTCCCTGTGATCAGCACCCCTTGTGGCCCCTTAATCTCCCCAGATGGTAGGCCAGGTGTCAGGCTGGCAAGTCACTGTCCCCTTGGACAAGTCTTCATTGTAGACATATTTGAGCCCCATCTGGTCCCAGGATGGGGCAGCCCCTACCCACCAGACAGACACAAAGCTGTCCCCAGAGTGGAGTGCTTCTTTGCTCCCGACCAGGCTGCACCGCTGGTCCCCAGAGGTGAGAGGTGTAGGGAAGGGCGGTGTGGGCTGGAACAGAGTCACAGGTGTGCAGTTGGTACATGGAACTTTCTGGAACCAGTGAGCAAAGCACGCAGGGCTTCTTGCACCTGCGTTACCTCTTGGGGGCAACCTGTGTGTGTTTGAATCCAATTCTGAGAGGTGGAGTGTTGCCCTGGGTGCAGCCTTCTACCACCCCCAGCTCTGCTGCCCCTTCTTCACCATGGTGATGGGGTAGAGTTGGGAAGCAGGATCTAGGGACCCTTCCCAGCGTCTGCTCTTCACCTACCGATGAACACAGGAGGGAGACAGGACAGTGGGGGGAGCATCTTACCACACCTGAAGAGCCAGCATTGGGGAATCGGCCTTTCTTCTCTCCGAGCCAGCCCTGTCCGATTCTGGTTAGAGCTCTGGCGCGAAGGAGATGTTGTAGGGACCAGTCAGCTCCTTTTCAGGAGCGAGGGCTCAGAGCACAACATAGAGGATACACCATGTGCTCTGCACCCAAGGAAACCTAGCATGGAACTTAGGTGGTGCTTACTTCTGATGGGTCTGTAGCCAGGGGTCTTGGGATTGGGGTGACAGGCCAAGACGAGCCCATCACCCCCACTTTGGAGGAGGTTTCCAGAATTGGTCAGGGAGGAGCCTCATCATCTAATCCACAAACTATCAGTGACTGCGTGAGTTCCACTTGGGCCTGGTTTCACCTGAGGGCACCCTGATGAAGCTTTAGTCCATGGAGCATTCTGGAAGTTTCTGATCAGTGCCCTTTGTTTAGGAAAGCTAGGCATCGAGGCACAGCCACCTTTATTTCATTTTCTTTTTTAATAAAATTTTGTCATGTTTTTGGTGAAAGTTTACGTAACAAGTTAAGTTCCCCTTTGACAATTTCCACACAATTTCTTGAGTGATGTAATGTGTCAGCATGCTCATTGATTGCATTCTGGTTGTTCCTTTTCCAATACTCTAGTTTCCCTGCCCCCTTCTCTTCTCAGTTTTGCTTTGGATTGAATGTTGACCTGTGGACTTTTTCCTATAAGCAATTTTCAGTAGAGCAGAGTTCTAATGGGCCATTTCCTTTCTTTTTTGCTTTAATGTTACAAGGTGGTCTCGGGATAGTTTTGCTTCAACATCTAACCCTTTGAAGACCCAGTTAGTTGTACTTTTCAGTGTTTTGTTTTGAAACTGTTTTTAGTAATGGGAAACATTTAAAATGAAATGAGAAGCAAAATCTTTTGGAGGCAATATGGATTTTAATACAGTGAGTGGGACCTATACAAAGGATCTTGGAAAAGTTTGTGGGAAAATGGAATTATAGGATAACAGAAATTTTCCATGAACGTTTTGAAGCCTCCTTGTATGTCCTAAAGGGTCTCCAGTGCTGAGATTGGTGGAATGAGACCCTTTTCTTCAGATTCATGCCATTATGAGCACCACCACCACATGGCAGCATGTACTAAAAGTGGGATATCCTTTTCCCAGTAAATCCCAAAGGCAGAAAATGTAGCTGGGCAGTAGAGGGTCAAAGAATAGATGAGGGTGGTAACCTCTAGGAGTACTAGGGTCTCAGAGGATCCAGTTAGTCTGGGACAAGGCCATCTTTGCACTTAACAGTCCTCGCAGAACCACCAGGAGGCAAGCTGCTGGCGTGGCACCAGCTCCCAGCCTGCCCCTCGGTTACTGAGATCGTGAGCATCAGGGTAGTCTTTCCACTTCCCAGCAGACAGCTGTGCCAGGATTCAAACCCAGGGCAGAGGAAAGAAAGAAATACTAAAGGAAATATAGAGCGAGATGGGTCCCTTCTGATGAATGGAACTTAAAAAGAGTTGTTCATGGTGCCACATGTTAGGGAAGAGGGAGGGGGCTGGGATGAGAGAAGGGAGACCTCAGGTCTGAGGTGGCAGAAAGCGACGTTATCATCAGTGAGGACAGTAATGGGCAGCCGTGAGTGGCTACAGACCACTGGGCGCTGTTCTCAGTCTTTTGCTAACAGATTAGCTTCCTTTGATGGTCATGGCAACTCTGTGAGGTTGTATTGCTTGTGTCCCATTGCTCAGATGGGAACACTAAGGCCCAGTGAGGTCAGGCTGTCCATTTAGCACATGGAGGAGCCAGTCCTCCTCAGCACTTTTCCTCTCTGTGGCAGACGGTGGCTGAGTGTGTCCTCTACTATTACCTAACCAAGAAGAATGAAAACTACAAGAGCCTGGTGAGACGCAGCTACCGGCGCCGTGGCAAGAGCCAGGTGAGAATGACTGCTCCCCTCAGGTGCCTATTCTGGGCCGGGCCTCTCTCAGATCCTCTTTCTGCCCATCCTTTGTATGCTGACCACAGGAATCAAAGAGCTGGGAAGAAATGACCATTGTTGGCCTGGAAACTGGGGACTCCCAGCTATGAGACCTAAGGTCACTGTGGTCAAATGAACCACACTCCCAAAGCTGGGACTGGGTCCCCAGGGTGACCTGGCATGGCTCACATATTTACTTAAAAAAATAATTTCTTAATCATTCTGGATGTTTCTTTTAATGCATATTTGAAAACAGTAGCTAGAACTTCAACCTGCAGTTTTCCAGACATTATTGCCTGGGATGAGACTGAAGGGTTAGCCAGGTTATAACAGGTGTGGCCTCTCTACATCTGGCCCCTAACTGGTTTTTGTGAATAAAGTTTTATTGGCACGCAGCCGTGCCCATTGGCTTCTGTACTGTCAGGCTCCTTGTGGTCTCCAGGGATGCTGTGGCAGAGCTGGGCAGGCGCTGCAGAGATGGCCTAATGTGGGAAACCCAAAATAGATGCTCTCCGACCATTTTCAGAGAAGCTTTGCCAACCCCAGAATTGGAGGGAAAAGTTGGTTGAAAATAACCATTTAGTCAATAACCGTAAAGGTAAAAGGGACCAGAGATGATGGTTTAAAGGCATTTCCGGGAACTGGGAGATGGAGGGCCAGGCATGGAGCCTTTCTGTCTCTGGCTGTGCAGAGTCACCTTAGAGCAGGGATGGGGGCACATCCTGGGAAAGGGTGGGTACTCACTGTGGTAGGTGGGCTAGGGACTGGACAGTGAGGAGAGCTAGGCACTGATGTCAGATGCTAGGCGTGCGCTTCGCTGGGTGCCCGGGAGGAGCGTGGACTGGGATGCATGACCTGAGCTTTCCTAGGTTGGTGTGCTCTCTTGCACTGTCTGTCTTCCTCTCCCAGCGTCCGCCGAGAAGCAGCCATTTACCAACTGAATCCCACACTGCTGTCTCCTCCTCCCAGGATGTGCCCTGGATAGGGCTTGGGTGTCCTGTCGTAGTTGTGCGTAGTCACAGTTGGCTGACTCGCTTTCCCATTCAACCTAAGTGTAAAACTGAGCTTTAGTGCAGAGACTTGGCTGTGGTTTTTCAGAAATTGGCTGGCATTCAGGAAGTTTTTAGACTGAGAGGCAAAAATTCAAGTAAATGTGAAGCAGAGTGGGCGAGTCAAAAAGTACTGCTACTTGGGTTCTAGGTTGCACACAGGTTTATTCCCAAGAAAACATGTTTCATCTTGTCTGTCGTCAGTGAGTGGCTTGTCTTTTTAGTCTTCTTTGGGTGCGTTGAAAAAAAGGACCAATCAAAGCTGAATTCCGAGGGGATGTGCTAGGCCAGTTCTAGGTAGAGAGGTCAGGTCAGTAGGTTATGGTGACTGTTATCTGGAATTCTGAAGGGTTTATTGGCATGAATTCAGGCTTCAAGTTGCCATGGTGAAGGCTAAGCATTGGACTGGTACCCACAAGGTCGACAGTTCAAACTAACCAGCTGCTTCTCGGAAACCCTATACAGGGGTCAATATGAGTCAGAACTCACTTGAGGGCAATTAACAACAACAGGGTCCTGGTGTGGCACTGTAGGATAAGCACTGGACTACTGACTATAGGTTGGCAGTTAAAACCCACCAACTGCTCATTGGCAATCCTATACTGGGTTGCTATGAGTCGGAACCGACTTGCCGCTGCCTAACAACAATAACAACATGGACAAAGTATTGAAAGATGCAGGAAGCATCCAAAGAAGATGGAAGGAATACAGAGTCATTGTTACAAGAAAGAATTTATTGGCATTCAACCATTTCAGGAGGTAGCATATAACCAAGTATCAATGACAGTATTCAAAGAGGAAGTCTAAGCTATTCTGACGGCATCAGCATAAAGCAAGTTGCCAGGAATTGATGGAATACGAATTGAAATGTTTCAACAAACTGATTCAGCACTGAAGGCGCTCACTGCTCTGCTCTAGGAACACAGGAAGACAGCTCCCTGGTCAGCCAATTAGAAGAGACCCATATATGTGCCCATTCCAAAGAGGTGACCCAGTGAATGTGGAAATCATTGAACAATGTCATTTATATCACAGGCAAGTCAAATTTTGCTAAAGATTATTAAAAAATATCTCATTGCTGACGCCAGATCATCTTGGCTGAGAACGGAGAATATCAGAAGTATGTTTACTTGTGTTCCATTGACTACGCAAAGGCATTCAGTTGTGTGGATCATAACAAAGGATGGATAACATTGTGAAGAATGGGAATTTCAGAACACTTAATTGTGCTCATGCGGAACTTGTACATAGACTAAGAAGCAATCGTTCAGACCGAACAAGGGGACACAGGGTGGATTAAAATCAGGAAAGATATGCACCAAGGTTGTATCCTTTCATCATATTTATTCAATTTGTATGTTGAGCAAATAACCCGAGAAGCTGGATTATTTGAAGAACAGCGTGGCATCGGGCCTGGAGGAAGACTCATTAACAGCCTTCTATATGCAGATGATACAACCTTGTTTGCTAGAAGTAAAGAGGACTTTGAAGCACTTACTGATGAAGATCAAAGCTTTCAGTTTGATTGCCCCTCAGTGTAAGGAAAACAGAAGTCTTTCACAACTGGATCAGTAAATAACATGATGAACATAAAAGATTGAAATTGTCCAAAATTTTATTTTACTTGGATCTATAGTCAACACTCACCAGCTGCTCCTCGGACGGGTTGCTACGGGTCAGGATCGACTCGACTCGACTCGACTCGACGGCACTTAACAACAACACCAATAGCCAACACTCATGGAAATAACAGTCAAGATACCAAGCCATGTATTGCGTTGGGCAAATCTGTTGCAAATCTCTTAAAAGGTGTTAAATTACAAAGATGTCACTTTGAGGACTAACGTGCACCTGACCCAAGCCATACTGTTTCCAGTTGCCTCATATGCAGGGCAAAGCTGAACAGTGAATATGGGAGACTGGAGAAGAAACGCGCCATTTGCGTCATGGTGTTGATGAAGAATTTTGAATATAGCGTGGCCTGTCAGAAGAATGAAGAAATCTGTTTTTGAACAACTATGGCTGGATTGCTCTTTGTAAGTGAGGACGGTGAGACTCTGTCCTCATTCTGGCCATGCCCTCAGGAGGGAAGGACATTATGCTTAGGAAAGTGGAGGGTTGGGAAAAAAGAGGAAAACCATCTCTATCCTCACTGAGATGGGTTGCTATAGCGACTTTAACAATGGGCTCAGACACAGCAACGGTTGTGAGGATGTCGCAGGATTAGACAGTGTGTGTTCTGTTGCACACAGTTTCCATGAGTCAGAACTGACTCCACTGACAACCTGGACAGATGTTTTGGAAAGCTACGGGGTCATCACAGAGGCTTATTATGAGGAAGTTTTAAGAAAATTGAAAACTGCTTTGGGGAGCATAGAGGTCAGGAAAGTTGCACCAAGGAGCTATTTTCCATCCCAACAATGCACCTGCCTATTCTTTGAGGGTAGCCAGGGCTGTCCTGAGAGAATTCTATTGGGAAACCTTACTTCATCCTCTCTACAGCGTTGATTTTGCCCCTTCAGAATTCCTTTTGTTCCCCGAACTCAAAAGAACATTTCATAGGAATAGCAATCTGTCCTTCAAGGGTCCCCAAGCTGCTGTTTGGACATGATGTGAATCACGGCAGAACTCTCCAGGAAAGGTTAAACATGGAAGCATTGCCTTCAGGAATGTAGACTGAGGTGATGGATATTTCGAGGGGCCGGAACTTCACATTTTGATATTTCTGTCATTATTATTAAAGGACCGCCAACCACAAAGTTGGCGGTTTAAACCCACCAGTGAGTCCATGGAAGAAAGATGGAAGTTTTCTGCTCCTGTGAAATTTTACAGCCTCGAAAGGCCTACACCTGGTGGCTGTGAGTCGGATTCAACTCAAATACAGTGAGTTTAGAGTTTGAGGTTGGTTTTGTAACGTTACTTTTTCCCTTACTCAGGTGTCCCGAGGCAAGAGGCAGAAGAGAGTGGTAGGGCTCATTTCGGGTCCCTGGGGCTTTGTAGAGCATACGCCTTAATGGTATCATTGTTGTGAAGTGCCCCTGAGTCGGTGCCAACTCCTAGCCACCCTGTGTAGGGTTTCTGAGGAGCAGCTGGTGGGTTTGAACTGCCAACCTTGTGACTCAAACTGACCTTGAGATATCCAGCGCATTAGCCTGCAGCACCATGCCAGGACTGCGATGGTGCCATTAGCCTGTCTGCAGAAATGATCTTTTCAGCGATGTTCCCTGTCCAGGTTCAGAATGCAGGTAGTGACATCCGCATGGATTCTTGGCATTTGTATCTGTAGCAGTGTTCCGTGGGACTCACAGACAGCCTCCACTGTTCCCAGGCACTCTGCCGGTGGTTCCAGCAGCTGGGTCCAGATCCCCGAGGGCTCCCTGAAAGAGTCAGACCATCCAGAACTGCCCCATGGCCGCCTTCTTTGGCTCTCCAACTTCTGGATGCTTCTTTGCGTTCAGGCACACACTGTTAGGATAGCAGCCCCTGTTCGTCCCCACCCCTCCTGAACCAGGACCCCGGACCCAAGAACCTGTGTGTCCGGTTGCTTTTCGGGCTTGGCGTCCGGTTGTGCCTTCTTGCCCGGCCCTTGGCCCTGGGCCAGGCCCAGTGAGTCACAGCTTGGAGCTCATGGTTCATGAAGCAGGGTTGTGCTGGCCCCATGCTCTGCGAAGCTGAGCCCAGGAATGCTGTGCTTCATCCAGGGCCTGGATGCCCTGTGTTGGGACTGCTGAGGTTGTGAGGCCACCGTGGTGTCGTGGGCAGACGCAAGGGCCCCCTGAGGGAATGGGGGGTCCCTGCTGTGGTGGGGACACATCCCTGGGGGTGAGTGCTGCCCTGCGTCCTTTCATTGAGGTTCTTGCGGTGGGCATGGCTAAGTGGGCAGGGAGAGCAGGTTGGAGGGGCTGGGCTAGGGTCTCTTCCTGTTGAGAAGTAACAGGGGGACAGGAAGAGCCTGGGCTCCTTCTCCATCCTGGTCCCCTGGGCTGTGGCTCTGTGTTCTGTGCCCCACCTCCCTGCCAGCCCTCCTCACTGGCAGAGCTCTCCTCTCTGTGTCGTGCGTTCTCTTGGGCGGGCCTCGGTTTCTCTGTATGCGTCTCTCCTCCTCTCTGTTTCTGCTTCTTTGTCTGTCACTCTTTTCTCTCTCTGGGTCCAGCTCCCCATGGAGGGACAGATGACCTTGTTCCTGCTGCTGTGAATCTCTGAGCTTGAGCGGAGGCAGGGTGACTGGCGAGTCACCATACCTGGGCCGAGCCAGCAGGCGAGACTCCCTGTTGGTGACTTCCCTTGCTGGCTCGCTTGGTGAAATTGACAAGGATGTTTGGCTGTCTGGACACAGCCATGTGGCACTGAATGAGCACCGGCTGGGCCAGGGCTCTGCTATATACGGGCAGTCAGGCCCGTAGGAGGCGCTTCTTCCTGCTCTGTGGTGGGCAGGATCGAGTCCAGATGTGGGGCCAAGATGAACAGATGCTCCTGATCCCACCCACGAGGATGTCGAACAGAGTTCCTCCAGGTCCCCTTGGGCTCTGATTCTGGGGATGGAGGCTCAGTGCTGGGCAGGGGAGGGGGTCCCAGGAAACAGCAGGCTGTGTCTGAGCTGCCATTGAGGGGAGACCCACTGCTCCCTCCCCACCAGCCGAGCGCTGCAGAATGACAGAGGATATGGCTGGGGTGGACAACATGGGACGGGCTAGCTGGGTCAGAAGTCAGATAGGAAGAGCAGCCGGATGGGGCCGAGTCAGCGTGGCCGATGTGTCATCGTTCTCTAAGTTGCCACTGAGAGTTCTGGAGTGGCACAGCCGTGTGCACGAGTGAGCCCACCTGGTCATCGGGTGTCTGACAGACCTCGTTTGAAGATGCTTCACTTTATTGCTCTTTGTGGTTTGTTTTTTTTTTTACAAATGGAAGGTTTGTGGCATCTCAGCCTAGTTTCCCAACAGCGTGCTTTTACTTCATGTATCTTGTCATTCTTACAAGGTGTCAGACTTTTTCATCTTGCTATGATACATTGCCTGGAGCCCTGCTGTGGCGCTGTGGGTTAATGCGCTGGACTGCAAACTCAGTTTGAACTGCAAGGCTAGCAGGTCGCTGTGGGTTGGAACCGGCTCAAAGGCACTTCACAACAACAACAGTTATACACTGATAAGACTACAGGATAACGTCAACGTCGCTTGGCTAAGCTCTGGGAGACCTGAACATGTGCAGCTTGTTTTGAAGTGAACTCACTATATGTCTGAGGTTTGCTGATGGATGGATGGATGGATTAGTGGATGATGGATGGATGGGTAAATGGATGATGGATAGGTGGATGATGGATAGATGGGTGATGGGTGGAGGGCAGATGGATAGATAGATGGTGGGTGGATGGATGATGGATGGATATAGATGAATGAATGAATAGATAGATGCTGGATGGAAGGATGGATGAAGCCTAGATGATGGATGATGTACAGATGATAGATTGATGGAAGATGGATGGACAGATGATGGGGGTGGATGGATGGATAGATAGATGATGGATGGATAGATGATAGATGATGGATGGATGGATAGATAATGAAGATGGATGGATGGATGGATGGGTGGATGGATGGACAGATGATGGGGGTGGATGGATGGATAGATAGATGATGGATGGATAGATGATAGATGATGGATGGATGGATAGATAATGATGGATGATGGATAGATGAATGATGGATGGATGAACGGAAGGATGGACGGAAGGACGGACGAATGGATGGATGGATACCTGCCTACTGTTAAGTCAACTTGAATGCACAGCAACCTTACACAAAACAGAACAAAATGAGCAGATTCAGGATGAACTGCTCTGGGGGGGGTGCGGGGGTGGGGGTGTGTGTGTGATTGGGCTCCACCCTGAACAATGACAAAGAGCTTGCCAGGTAGGAGGCGTGATGAGTGCAAAGGCCCTGAGGCAGGAGTCAGAGCAGCAGCTTCCTGGAGACTAGTGAGCGGAGGAGTTGCCCCAGGGAGGTGCAGGGCCAGGTCATCCAGGTCTGGTGGTGGGGGCTGCTGGTGGGAGTCATGGGGAGGACGGGATATGAGTCACAAATTCAAACAGCCTTTGATGTTCACAGGCGCGCTCTGGCCGCTTGTTAAAGGCTGCTCGTGTCCTCTTAACACACAGAGCCTGGCCCACATTGAATGCCAGCTCTTTGGGGTAGTGGGGAGCCTGGATTTGCAGCCTGTGTCCGTTCCTCTGGTGTCACCTCTCCCACTCTGCCCAGATGCAAGCTGTTGACTGATGCTACCGACTTGTAGAACTAGGAAGGAACGGGCTTAGCACACTGTGAGGTAGTGTCTCCGCCCTGCAGGTAGAGTTGGCTTAACTAGTTTCCAGAAACTATAGAACCACCAGGTAGTTAGGAAGAGAGAGCTTTGAGTATTGATGTCTTGTGTCTTTATTATAATTTACTTAACTGTAAACTGACCCATTGCCATTTTTGGTACTGAATTCCTGAACCTTTGAGGTGGGAGGAGCCTCAGTATACCTCGGTCTGTGTCTCTCACAGAGAAGCCCCTCACCGACTCCCCTCAGTTTCCCCAGAACAGATGAATGGGCTATAGATTAGGTGTAGGGACAGGAGACTGGCAGCCAAGGTCACCAAGCAGGTGAAAACTGGGTTTGGTCTTGGCTGTGAGCCCACGTTGTATTCACCTGGCCTCCTGTGTGGCGGCAGACGGGCCTTTGGAAAACTTGGAAGCTCTCGGCTGAGCCAGGCTCTCCCTTTGATCCTGCGTCCTTGTCCAGGACCACAGCCCTGGGCTGCTGAGCCTGCCACACCCCACCTCTTGGAGGGTGGGAGGTGAGCCCGTCTCTGCCCCGGGTCTAGTAATGTGTTGGGGAGGAAACGCACCTGGCGCCCAACTTGCACACCTTGTTGGGAAATGGCAGAAATAATGACCAGGTTCCTGTGCTCAGGGGGGCTGGTGCCCCAGGGCTTGGAGACGGGCTTGGCAGGTGGTGAGGCCAGGCCAGGTGAGGACAGTGGGTAGAGATGGCAGAGAGAGGGCCCATGTAGCTGGGTCCATGTAGAAATTGGGCCCGGGTTTGAATCCAAGCGTTGCGGTTCCATTTTCCCTCCTGTGCTTTAGGTTCTTTTCTGTAATACGGGGAGATGATAGGAGTTGGATAAAGGAGATGACACCCACCACAGAGCCCTTCAGTGTTAACCTGCTGTCTGCTCTCAGCTTCTAAATGAAAGGCTTAAACACATCCAGCAGCTCATGGAAGAAAGCCCTGGCTATGTGTTCCCATGAAGATTACAGGCAGGAAGGCCCCATGGAGCGGTTCTAGTCCGGCCAGCAGCCTTGAACAGCATGCCTGCAGGCCTGGGGTCTTGCAGAGAGTTAATAGCACCCCAGCTCCTTCGAGTGTAAGCCTTCTTCTGCCTTCAAGTCTGCAGGCTTGTAGTCAGGGGAGACAGACGGTGGTGGGGGGTGCTTGATAGGGCAGGCAGTGGCCTGGCATTGGGTGATGAGGCTGGTGCAAATCACTCTGCCTCCCTCCCCCCCGGGGGGAAAAGAGAAGCAGGTTCAAGCCGAAGGTTCCTGGGGACACAGTGCAGTGTTGGAGAGCCCTCCGTTAGTTGTAAATGTCTCAGACCCCTACCCTGCATCTTGTTTCTGCAGACCACAAGCCTTGTTCCTGTAATGAACCAGGATGCTAGGTAGAGGTGGCCCAGCAGGGAAGATGGGGACAGAGGAAGTCCTCGTCCACACCCCCAGCCCCCACCTCTTTCCCTCTGCTTGGATTTCTAGTTGGTTTGGAAATTGTCCACGTGCCTGACCCGCATTGAAAACCCTATGGGCAGCGGGATAGGAAAAGGTCTGGTTTGGCAGCTGCCTATAGGGAAGGCCTTGGGGTGGCCAAGAAGTTGAGCCTGGTTAGAACCAACACCACTGTCCTGGTGTCAGGGTACAGCTGCTTGGGAGGGAGGTGGGAGCGGCACACCAGGATCCCCTTGGACACTGGTGAAGCTGGGAGTCTCTCTGACCCTGACCGTTGTCATAACAACAATGCTAGGAAATTGGGGTCATCCCTCATCTCCCCATTTTATGGATCTGGAGACTGATGCTAGGAGAGGTGTCTTGAGCTTTACTGGGACAGGCAGGCCGGGGCTTGCGGTATCTCCAGCCCTCCCTCTCCCCTCCACACAGGACACCATTTAAAAATTTTGTGTTTTTCAGCCATAGTCTGTCTTCTTACTCACTGATTCTTCACTGTACTGTAGGCAGGCCGTACGTCCCTGCTTACAGAGGGAAGAAAGCAGAACACAGGAAGTCTCAGCCCCTAACGTGGCCACTCCAAACCCCTGTGGGCCTCAGTCCCTAGCTCTTGGCAGCTAGGCCCGGCTCCTGCTCCCCCGTACCCCAGAGACTCAGGCCATGTCTAGAGCTGGCCGGGCCGCACCTGCTCACATCCCCTTCCTCTCCCTGCCCCCCCTCCGGTGGTCACAGCAACAACAACAACAACAACAACAACAACAGCAGCAGCAGCAGCAGCAAATGCCCCGGAGCAACCAGGAGGAGAAGGAGGCAGAGAAGGAGGCAGAGAAGGAGGAGGACAAGCCTGACGCAGACGACAAGGACGAGCTTGTCAAGTAGGCAGGGGGGGCCGGCGCTGCCCCAGGTCGCTCTCTCCTCAGTCCCAACCTGCAGCCACTGGGGGGTGGGGGTCACTCTTAGTCCAGTTGTGTGATTTCCCCCACATCGCCTGCCATGAAGGGAATTCTCAGGCCTCATCTGCTGCCTGCTACCCCCTCCCTCTCCATCCTCTGGAGACGGCAGAGGCTGGCTGATGGCTCACTGGAGCTCCTCTTCTGAGTCCATCAATCCTGACAGTGACTTTGGAGCTCTGTGCTCCCCGGTGGCTGGAGCTCCAGAGATGCCGGGGAGGAGCCAGGCCTGCCCTCACCTCTTCACTGTCAGAGTCACGGGCCTGATAGCCTGCACGGAGGCACACTGCCGGGGAGGCGGGGTGTCTCTGTCACCCCGTCTGCCTGAAGATGAACAGGGAGCCAGGGCAGTCAGTCTGGTGGCCCCATAGAAAACTCTCCCACGCCACCATCTGCAGAATCCCCTGGGCATGTAGACCCCCACACCTTGACTCAGCCTCCAGCAGTAGATCTCCCCTTGGCCTTCCTCAGGGCCCACTGGGCCTTGATAATCCCTAAAGCAAACGTCTTGCCACTTACCTCGGTGCCTCTGGTGGACTTGAACCTCCAACCTTAGTTGTCTGTGCCTCCTCTCTGGGGAATAAAGTTGCCTTGAGGATTGTCACCAGCCTATACTCCCCAGTGCATCAGAACTCTAAAGTAGGTACAGATAGCAGCTTGGAATGTAAAATGGCCCCCACCCTGTTGGGTAAATACAGTAGCCTCATGGGAAAGTGTCCAGTGTCCCCAGTGATGAATAGCACAGCCACTCAGGATCCACTTGTCCGAATACTCTCATTTGGCAAATTAAGCCATCAACGATATGCTGTCAGCCCGCGTGTGTCCCCACTTCCCTCCCCGGCTCTAGCAGCTGGTCACAGCTGGCAGCCTGGCGTTCTGGCTCAGGGAGCGCCTGCCCCCCCCCCCCCTCTGGATCTAGGCTCCCTCTTGAAAGCTTGTAAGCCATTCACTTCTTGCCTTCGTAGCCCCCCCCCCCCCCTTTGTCTCCCAGGGAGAAGACGGACGACACCTCTGGCGAGGACAATGACGAGAAGGAGGTGGTGGCCTCCAAAGGCCGCAAAACCGCCAACAGTCAGGGGAGACGCAAAGGCCGTATCACGCGCTCCATGGCCAATGAGGTGAACAGTGAAGAGGCCGTCAGCACACAGCAGAGCGCCGAGCTGGGTAAGTTGGGCTCTGAGGTACACGTTCAGTCTGCCTTAACCTCCCAGACCCCCACTGGCCATATTGTTCAGTGGCGGTGAATCTTCTACAGGTGATAGAAAGTTCTGGTAGCTGCAGTCCTCAGCCATCTCCTGTTCTAAGAGGGCTGTAACCCCGTAACCACCCTGACCGCGGCCCTGGGAGCTGTTTGGGCCTCAGTTTCTCCCTCTGCTCAGCCAGATGGTCCATGTCCATGTGCTCTGAGCCTCAGAAGCTGCTGGCCAGCAGTCCTCTCAGGTCCACGATGACTCCAGTGCGTCAGCATTGCTCTTCGTAGGCTGTTCAGCAGATGAGTGCTCAGAAGCAGGTTGCCAGATTGTTCTTAAGTGTCTCTGGGCAGATTCGAACTGCCAGTCTTTGACTTAGCAATGGAATGATTGTACAGTTAGCACCACCTGATGTGGCATTGCAAGATAAGAACTGGACTGCTCACCTTAAGGGCAGCAGTTCAAACCCACCATGCTGCTCCTTAGATTCAGAACTGACGCTTAAGCAAACTGTGGAGATTGAGTCGTAGTTCTTTGGTTTGGCCACCAGGGGGCAGCCGATGTGTATCTGTCCTCTGTGTGGATCCCATCTTGGCCCCTGTGTGCTCCGCTGAGGCTGGGGTGGGGGCTGACAGGGTGCTGCTTCACCCCCCTGCACCCCTCTGGGGTCTGTGTCCTCCTCCTACCCATGTCATAGATGCATACATGGGCCGTGTGAGGCCTGCAGTGGAGCTTGGCCTCCCTGGAGGCTCAGACTCAGTCAGATTCCAACCTGGCCTTGTGGCCACAAATCCCAACCAGCCTCTGAAATGTTTGGTGCTGAAGTGCCTGAAGGTCTTGGCAGAGGCTTTGGCCTTCGGGGGACCTTCTTCCCTGTTCTCCAAGTGCTACAGTGGATAACACAGTGCCAGACCCTGAGAGTGGTTGTTCCAGTAGCCCCCTCCCCCAGCGAGGCCTCCCCCTGGGAGTCCCAAGGGAAGGAGGGGACAATCAGAGGCCTCTAGGGGTAGCTGAGCCCCCAGTGATGGTGAGACCACCTCCCCTCTTCTGTCTCTAGCCCCTGAGTCACCTCCCGTCCTGCCAGGGTCTTCCCCACTCACTAGTGGGCTCTGGAATGTGCATGCTGTTACAGGTCAGCAGTGAGTGTCCCCCTGTCCCCACCTCCCTCCTGGTCTGAGGTCCCCAGAAAGGCAGGGCAGAGAGGGAATCTCTGGAGAGGCTCTGACTCCGTGTGGGTGACTCAGGAACCCCCAGCTTGGTCTCCCCAGCATGGAGACTTTGGGGAGAGTGGAATAACTGCCCTCCAGAGCAGTGGTTCCCACCAAGGTGGTTCTGCCCCACCGGGGGACATTGGGGTCATCTAGGGACCTTCTGCTGTGACGCTGTGTGTTAATGCGCCAGACTGCAAAGCCATTTGAACTGCAAGGTCGGTGGTTCAAGCTCACCAGCTGCTCTTCAGAAACCCTATACAGGATCTCTATGGGTCAGAACCGACTCGACAGCACTTAACAACAACAGGGACATTCTGGACTGCAAACCACCATGTCGGCAGATCAAACCCTCCAGCTGCTCCTTGGAGACCCTATACAGAGTCCCTATGAGTCGGAACCAAATCGCTGGCATATAACAACAGGGCTACTCTGGTTATCCCAGCAGGGAGGGGTGCTACTGGCCCCTAGTGGGTGAGCCCTGTAATCACATCCTCCTTTGTACAGGACGGCCCCAGCAGAGCCTGTTCTAGCCACCTGGACCCCTGCTTCGCATCCCCAGTCAAGACTTTCAGCTGCCCATCTGTAGAATGGGGTGATTGCAGACTCCCCAGTTCCCAGTGTGGTTTAAGGGCTAAAGCAAGAGCATTGGGAAATAGGACCATCCCGTAGGTTCAATGCCTGTCACCCAAGGAGATGGGAGTGAGCTCCTTACAGCCCCTCTTGACTCAGGGAGAATCCCCTGTGGGGGCAGTAGATTGCACACCCGCCTGAGGACCACTGCCAACCCACCTCTGTCTTCCTTCCAGCCTCCATGGAACTGAACGAGAGCTCCCGCTGGACTGAGGAGGAGATGGAGACTGCCAAGAAAGGTGAGTGCCCTGTGCCTTCCGGATGGAGCACGCCCGGCTGAGGTGTGGCCACTCCTTCCATGAACTGGGCCTCTGCTGGCTGCTGCGTCAGGCTCCAGAGTGTGTCCCCGGCTGACCCCACTGGGAGCTCCTCGGGGCCAATCTATGAGCTCTAGTAAAATGTGGCTGTGGACACAGCCAGAGCTGCAGGCAGGGTGCTGCCGGGGGCTTGTATAGCTGTGACCCATTGAGGGGTCACAGGCTCAGAGAGACTGGCTAGGGCCTCCAGTTCCCAGAAAGCAGACAGAAGTCTCAAGGCCCTTCCATCATGAGCTGGAATGTTCTAGAATGGGATTCCGGGAACCCACATTATGTTTGAAGGTGTCTGTGTGGATGGTAAGGTCTGTGTGGTCCAGGGACGTTGGGCCATCCTGGATGCTGTTGGGTGGAGGCCGCAGGAGTTGAGCCCATTAACTGTCAGGCCTCCTGTGTCAAGAGGCAGCCCCTGATCCTTGGGGTTACATGTGGCCACCGGAGCCAGAGGGGGATGTTGTCTTCCGCTTCCCACCCGTGAAGTGCGGGGTGTCTGCATGCTGTGGGGAATTGGGATCACGGGATGGTGCCTGGTCATCAGTCCTCCTTCCTCTCCAGGAGACACCCAGCCCAGTCTCACGCTACTGACAGGCACAAGAGTTCTCCGCCGATTCACTTCCCAGCTCATCCTTGTTGACTTGTTCTGATAGGCGCGTCACGTCCCTGCTCCCTGCCCTGGGTGAGGACCTGGGGCTGCCCTCGAACACGTGGGCACATTTCTGCCTGAGCCCTAGGTCGTGACTCGAGGGAACAAAGGGCCTTCGTAGAGCCGAGGACGCAGGTAGCAGGTCTGAGAACAGTCCTGCGGCATGGACTAAGGGGTGACTTGGGCCCCATGCCCACCTCCACCCTGGGTGTGGGCTGTGAGTCCCAGCGTGGACTTCAGAAACTGACCCAGAAGCAGGAGTGACCCAGGAAGGCGGGGACCACTCTTCCCATGTAGGCAGGGTGAGGAAGCATTGGTCTTGTGTGGGGGCTCTGTTGTGATAGTGAGGCACCCACAGATGTTCTCCCAGCTGTCGGCCGCAGGGGCAGTGGACCATGACTTTCTCTGTCTCTTCATGTCCATTTCTTCGTGTGGAATGGCAGGTTTTATTGAAATTGCACAAGGTCCTCGTTCCCATTTCACTTTGGAAAAATATATACAGGAAGGCTTCAAAAAAAGTTTGTGGAAAATTCCATTATCTTTTCATTCCATTTGTCCATGAACTCTTGGAAGTCCCTTGTATGAGATAAAACTTACTGTGTGTAGGTCACTGTACAGCATACAGTCCGTTTCAGTGTAGCCGTCACCATTTGTGTAGCCTTTATGTTCCAGAGCATCCGCATCACCCCAAAAAGAAACCTGGGCCCGCGAGTAGCTTTCCCTCTGCTCCTGGCAAGGATGCAGCCGCCTCCTGCTACCATGCATTGGCCTGTTCTGGACCTTTCTTAAAACGACGATTGTGTGATGTCTCCCTTTAGCGTTCAGGTGTAAAGGTTCAGGGGTGTCATGGTATCAGGACGTCACCTCTCATTCTGCCTGGATGCACAGGTCCTAGTTTGGTTCTTGGTTGGGTGGTCTCCACCTTTCAGCTGTGGCAGGTAGTACTGCGGGCAAACATTCCTGTAGAATTGCACGAGTTTCTTATCCACCTGTTGGAGCCTGGGCTGGGGGTGGGGGGTTGTCGGTGGCATTGCCTGGGTGGAGGTGGCAATGCCAGCAGCCCTGGTGCCTGGGCAGTAAGACATTGTGTCTATACTCCCACCCTGACCCCCAGAGATGGGGTCAGAGGGCCATGACTCACCACTGCTCTAAGTTGGGCCCTGTACTCTACCCAGCAGTGAGCTAGCCTGGGCCTTGTCACTTAACGCCGCCCCACCACGAGGTACACAGAGCAGGCCCTGTGGTCTCGGGGACAAGTCTGATTGTGTGCTGAGCATGTAAGCAATCTGGGCATTGCCACAGAGGGCGACTGTTAATGGTTGGGTGCTCCAGGTGGCAGCTCCCAGAAACTCAGTCTCCACAGCGGGAGGGGTAGGGAGTCTAGGAGGGTTCCAGAGCCCCCTGCCCAAACCTCCCCACTGGAGAGATACTGGAGAACCTCATCTCATGCAGTGGCTCGTGCCTCATCCTGTGTGCTCAGGGGCCAGGGAAGAGCAGCAGGTTACCCCGGAGCCTCTAGGAAGGACACTGCCAGGTGTCGGGAAGAACACACTCTGTGACTTCTGTCATCTCTGCTGTTCAGTGGGGTTAGAACATACCCCACTTTATGGAGGTCAGAGGACAGGAAGCTGAGGAGAAGCAGTGATGTGGGTCCTGAGCTCCCTGTCACTGTGTAGATACAACAGGAGGACCTTCAGTGGCGACACTGTAGGTACTGAGCTCCCCGTCACTGTGTAGACACAAACAGGACTGACTTCTGTGATGATGCTGTAGGTACTGAGCTCCCCGTCACTGTGTAGACACAAACAGGACAGGCAGACTTCAGCGGTGACATCATAGGTACTGAGCTTCCTGTCACGGTGTAGATACAACAGGAGGAACTTCTGTGGTGATGTCGAGGTAATGAGCTCCCCATGACTGTGTAGACACAAGCAGGACTGACTTCAGCGGTGATGTTTGTAGGTACTGAGCTCTCTGTCACTGTGTAGATACAAACAGGACAGGCTCCGTCTTGGGTTCTTCTGGGTTTGAGTCCCTGCTTCAGCCTCTTTTGTAGGGGTAGGGAGTGTGGTGTGGTGTGTGGCCCTTATCTGCAGGCCAGGCAAGGGGCCAGGGGACCACCTGGTCAAGGCAGGCTTCCCCAGGACATACCCTTGGGCTGACATCCAGAGCAGGGATTGATGAGGACTTGCAGGAAGCAGCATATTGAATACTGGCAGGGTGCCAGACTCCACGGATGCCTGAGCTAAGTTACTTCCTCCCCACCAGGCAGAGGCAGGTGCTGGCTTCATGTACACAGGAGGTCACACAGCCATTACAGAGACAGAGTGGAGGTGGCATGGGAACCCAGGTTCTCTGGGGGCAGAGTCGGGAGGAGGCTGTGACCATGGTGCCTGAGTGAGGTCAAGCACACAAAGGCGTCAACGGGGGGCCGGACACCCGGCAGGCTGCTAGTGTTAACCTGGCCTTGTTGTGCGGTACCGTGGAGTTGGTTCCGGCTCATAGCGACCCTCTGCACAACAGAACAGAACAGTGTCTGGTCCTGTCCCATCCTCACAATGGCTCCTTTGTTTGAGCCCATTGTTACGGTCACTGTGTCGTATTTTGAGTGTCCGTGGCTAATCCCTCAGAAATGGGTCCCCTGTTCCTTTTTCCTAGTCTAACTTAGTCTGGAAGCTTCACTGAAGCCTGTCCATCGTGGGTGACCCTGCTGGCACCTGAAACACCAGTGGTGTAGCTTACACACCGGCATACAGGTGGGGTAACTGGAGAGAGGGCAGAACTGTCTCAGGGCTTGCACAGGCTCTGACATGGAAGGGGATATAGTTGGAACCTGGAGAGGGGGCAGTGAAGGGCCCGTGGAACCGGTCCTCATGGGCAGGCAGCTTCTTCCCTTCTTAGGGGTGCACTCTGGTAAGGATGGAGTGTGAACTGGAAACAATCAGCCCCCAGGAATGTATCTGGCAGTCCCAGAGAGCTGGCTGCCCGCCCCGGCCTGGTGCCACACTGTGGTGGGGGTGGGGGACAGGCTGGCCGCTGGGCTGGAGTAGGCGCCTCCCTCCCCTGGCTGCTCATGTACTGACCCGGCTGGAGGCCCTGCTCTGCTGCAGTACACCAACACGGGTGAGTGGGGGTGTTCTAAACCTGAGTAAGGAGTGGACCCGGGTAACAGCACCTACGAAGACCCCAAAAGGCTGGAGGTGCCCAGGTTGGCCTCGTCGTCTTCAGCGCTTTCTGCTGTGTCTGGTGGCCCAAGACGGGGCAGTAATGTCTGTGCTTGTATACACTGGACGGTTGAAATCATTTTCATGGGTAAAAAGTCTCAGATGAGGGTGGGAGGCCCCCAAGTGTTGAACCCGAGCTGCCCACCGTAGGAGGAGGGCTTGTGGACGGGCTCGGTGGCTTTGCAGGCTGACTCTGGGCCTGCTGGGGCCACTTCCTGGCTGGAGTCATCAATCAGGCTGGGAGGAGATGGGTCTGCTCTCACATGCTGGTGGGAAATTGAAGAGGGCAGTCTTCTGGAACAGTCTCTAGATAAGGAAGAGAGTCGGGGTTCTGTATGAACTCGGGGTGCAGGCTCCAGACGCACGTGTGCCTTGTCACCACCCTTGAAGATCATTTGCCAGCCCACCAGAGTCAGCTCCCAGGTGGAAATCCAGATAGAAGCTTGCAGGTGTGGCTGTTGACACAGTAATGAGGAGGCCATATGCAGAACTGCTGGCAGTGTGGGGCACTTAGTGTGAATGCTCTTGCTTGATGCTCCGGAGGGACCCAGGAGGCTAGAGTACGTACACACTCACATACCCCTCTGTTTCCAGAGGGATGAAGTAGTGGGATTGTAAAGTGGCTCTGTCACACCAGGCTGTCACTGTGGGCGGCGGCTCTGTAGGAAAAAGCGACATTTCGCCTGTAACGTAGTATTTTCCCAAAGCGGCAAGCCAGGCAACGTTGGGTGGTACATGGTGGATTTGTTTTCCAGCTTCAGTGCGCGTTGACCCTGTGTTGGGAAGAGATGTATCCTTCCCATTGTGTGTATGGTTTGCAGATAGAATTGTAAATCATTACAGCTGTGATCTACAAACACTTGTGTCGGGCGGGTATGGGAGGTATGAGGTGTTGCGGAGTCGGTAGATATCCTGATGCGTTTCTCAGACCGCAGGCACTCTGGAGGCACAGCAAGCTGCCAGACCAGCATTGGTTCGGTCCAACCCCCCCAGCGCTTGGGGTTTCCGGAATAAGGAAGTAGGATGAATCAGGCTGAAGCGTGCTGGGTTTCCCCCTCCTCTGCTCGTTTGGAGCAGAAAATGCTGTTTTGCAAACTGGAGTGATTTTAGATTTGCCCCTTCCTGAAGACTGTCTGAGGAACCTCAGGGTTGCTTGTGTCTGCAGGGGCAGGGGAGCCTAGTGGGTTTGCTAGGGAGGGGCCTGCTCTCCAGAGGGCAAGGGTAATGTGTGACATTCCCTTATACAGCTGTAAATGTGGTGCTGATGTTGGGCAGCTGCCTGCAAAGCATCCCCTTGGTTTATCTTGATCGTGGGTGGGGAGTTGGTTGGTGGTGCAAGTTCAGGGAACCTAGAGAGAGACTAGGGCAGCACCAGAGACCCCGACTGAACATTGTGGGTGGAGCCTCACTGAGGCCCAGTGAACTTGGGCTGAGGGGGCTGAATCACCACCCCAAGAGAACCGTTGTCCTGCACTGGCAGACAGCTGTGTGGGAGATTACTCCCAGTATCTCCATCTCCCCAGCTGAGCGAAGCCCCTCCCCACTTCCCCCAACCCATCCCCCATGCCCCTTGGCCTCCTTCTTCGAACCTTGTCTGTGACTCAGACCCCTGGCCTGACTTCCTGTCTTGATCAATTTCACTTCCTAGTTGCAGCCTCCTGTCTCTTAAGAATGAAACTCCTTCCTTAGAAATTAGAAGTGGGGTCAGGGGACCAGACCACAGAGAGTGCTTGCAGAAGCCACTACCTCCCTCATAGGCAGTCATGGAGTATGAGTGGGGTGCACTCCTGGGCCAGCAGTGGGCACCCTAACCTTTTCTCCAGGGAGGGGGTGCTGAGACCTACTTTGCGGGTCCCCTTCCCAGGAGCCAGAGAAGTGTCCAAGATGCATATGGGATACTCAGCAGACCCTCTAGACTCCAGGTGTTTGGTCTGAAGCCTTGTCTGGTGCAGTAGTTAACAGCTTTTGGCTGCTAACCAAACCCACCACTCTGTGGCAGTCTGTTTCCTTCAAGATGACCGCCCTTGGAACCCTAGAGGGCAGGTCTGCTCTGTTTTGCGGGGTTCTTATTAGTTGGAATACACTTGAGGGCAGTAAGTGGATGCTTCGTGCCAAGTTTCTTGGGGGCACCGAGACAGCATTGGACAAAGAGGGGCAGGGGGCAGGGCCAGTACCGCCACAGAAATGAGAGGGTCTCCAGCTGGCACGGCTTATTGGAGCAGCTGTGGGAAAGCTCCCGATGTGGTATTTGATGGGTGACGGGGAGGAGCCCTTGGGCAGGTGGCCTTTCAGCACTGAGACCTTCTGGTTTTATCCCAAGAACTTTGGGTCGGTCAGCATCTAAAGCAGCTGGAACGGGAGTAACGAGACTGAAGGGGCATCCCTAAAGTTCCCCCAGGTCCCACCCCTTGCTAAGGAAAATGACTCTGGGGTTCAAGCAGAAGCCTCTAGACCCCTCGATGGAAGATGAATGTTGGGAGGCACAATCGTGGGGCTTTGAGCCTGAGGGTTTGCCTGTAGTTCCCTGGGCCTCTGCGGTCAGGATGGATTGGCCAAGGGTTAAGGGGACAAGCAGGTCAGTGACCCCAAGTGGGGAAAATCGGTCGTGACCTGAATCTAACTCCAAAGTTCACCTGAGTTAACTTTCAACCTCCCTGGAGCTGCAGCAGGTGAAGGAAGGGGGGTGTTGGGGAACACACTGCATTGCAGAGCTCTTTGGGGGCCCCAAGCCCTTCTCTGTTCCCTAGTTGGTTGGCGGTCTGGTTTGTACTGGGAGAGAACTCTCATCTTTCTTTCGTTGCTTACTGAACCATGTGTCCTCTCCCCTCCACTTGGAGGCTGTGGCTCTGTGCCGGGGGCGGGGCGGGGCAGACCGCAGGTGGAACTGGCTAGGAATGAGGCGGGAGGAGCTGTTTGCTCCCTGGCTGCCTGGGGTGGAGAAGCTCTGTTTTTCTGGATCCCTCATCTGTTCTTACCACTGCTGACGCCGCGCCGCTGCCACGGATGGGGAGAGAGGGAGGGGGAGCGACTGCTGCTGGCTTGGCCCGCCCCTCTGAACCTGGGCCGCTGCCACGCTCCCCGCCGCCACCGCCCGCCCGCGTCTGGAGGTCACATTCGTGCCGCCGCGCACTGGGCGCAGAAGAGCGCTCCGGGACGCTGCTGTGGTGGGCGCTGCTGCCAGGCGGCAGGGCCCAAGCTCCTGGTTAGCACCCTTTGGTGAGAGTCGGCGCGGCTAGCGGACGCCCGGGGCACTAGCCCCCGCCCCCGCCGGAAAGGGCACAGCGCGTGCACGCGGCCGCGAAGGAGACGGCGCCAGGGGTGGGCGCGCGCGCTCAGAACTGCTCCCCCGCCCGCCACGGAGCCGCAGACGCCGCCAGCGCCCGGCAGATCCGCCAGCCCGCGCCTCCCGCCGTTCCGGGAGCATCCTCCAGCCGTATGTTTCCGGAAAACTTGGCCGAGGGGGAGACGCAGATGAGAGGATGTGAGTGTGGGGTCCCCAGGGGCCGAGGGCAGTGGGGGGCTGGGGCACCAGAGGTGCCTAGCGATAGGCGCCTGACTGTGGGGGCAGTGCCCCCCCTCCCCCCAGACGGCCCCAGGCTTCTCCTGTTCTTCTCCACCCCCCACCCTTGGCAGTTCTCCTGGGAGGAGGGGGCCACAGCCTAGTGGCGTGGTGTGTTTCCGGATTTTTAGGTGCGGTGTGTATTTGTGGGTTGTGAGGCTTTTGTGGTTGGGGCATCCTTCCAGTGGCTGGGGTGGAAGAGATGAGACCGTCGCAGGGCTTGTCCAGCTCTGTCCACTCTGTCTCAGGCCCTAGAATGGGATCCCTAGTACAGGACCCAGGGGGAAACCTGCTATCACCCACCCCAGCCCTTTCAGTACTTGGGGAAACAGGCTCCCAAGGCAGAGGGAGGGGGTGGCCTGGCACCTGGAGCCGTTCAGGACCAGTGCCCAACTCCTCAGCCCTGAGCCCTCTCTACAGCACCACACTTTGAGGAAGGGCTGGGTGACCCCCACCCGTAAATACAGCTGCTCCTACAGGGGAGTTAATGAGCTCTCCTCCACTCCACTCAGAACCACTTCCTTATTTGTTTATGTAGTTTGGAAATGTCGCTCTCCCCTGGGGCAGGCCACCCCAGATGGGAGAATGCCCCCCTCTCCCCTCCCGCCCTGGGATCTGTGCCTGTGCCCAGCCGGGGAAATATAAATAAACGCGCGTCCTGTCCTCCGAGGTGGTGGCAGCTGCTGCTGATGCGGCTATGCGGAGGGAAAGGTCGGGGGCCGGGTTACACTCGGCTAGCTCACCGCGGAGGTCCCTCCCCTTCCTTGCCTGTCCTTGAGGAGCCCTGAGGAGCTGGCCACTGAGCCACGTGGCCCTGGGCTCCACAGATAAGCAGGTGGTCCTAGTGGCCCACCTGATACGGCGTAGGGCAAGCAAGTGGGCACCCACCTTCTGGTCCCCTCACTGCTGTGTTGCTGGGACCATCTCAGCCTCGGTTTCCCCATCTTAGAGAGGGGAGAATTCACAGGCTGGGCTGCAAGGATAAAATGGAATTGAATCTTTAAAGGGGCTTTGAAAACTCCGTATCACTTGGTATGACGTGGCTTGTGAGTGTTTGTGCTGTTGTTTTTGTTCAGAGCCTTGTATACAACGAGCTGCCAGCAGATGTATGAATGGGTGGATGGGGTGGGTGAAAGAATGAATGGACGGACGGACGGACAGATGTACCAAATGAATGAATGAATGAAAATGCCAAAACACGAACTGCTGCCTCTCAGGCCCCCTCCCTGCCTGTAAAATGTCTGTCCTGTGTCGCACCTAATCTGATTAGACAAAAAACCTTCTAAAACTTCCTCTCAGGAAATCTGCCCAGCAAATCCTGAGTCTGGGGTTGCTCCCACCCTCCGTGTTCCCCTGCCCTCAGCGTACTTGCTCGGACACATGGGGCCAGACAAGGTCATGGTGCTGGGGAGACATCCTGTGTGTGTGCGTGCGTATGAGGCTGTATGTGTGAGTATGCTTGTCTCCATATGCCTGTGTGAGTATGCACGTGTGTGTACTTGTGTGTGCACTCCTAGACCTCCGTGAGCAGATGGGCTGAGACCCTTTTCAGAGGGTTGCTTTTCGGCTTTGAAAATCCGAGCTGGGGGGTGGGTGGGGAACGCAGGTCTAGCATAGGCTAATGGGGATGTTGTTGTTGTTGTTATGTGCGGTGGAGTCGGTTCCGACTCGTAATGACCCTGTACAGGGTTTCCGAGGATGTAAATATTGATGGGAGCAGAAAGCCTCGTCTTTCTCCTGTGGAACGGCTGGTAGTTTCGAACTGCTGACCCTGAGTTTGTAGCCCGATTCATAACCACTATGCTACCATGGAGGAGGGTACTTTTTTTGGTCTAGGACGGTGGACCCTTCATGGTTTCTCCTCATGTTAGAAGGTCTGTCAGAGGGTCAGAAGACCTTGGGAAATGGGACATTTCAGGGATAGGCTGACCCCCCGGCCCCTGAGTCATCCTGCACTGACTAGCCTGGTGAGTCTGGGTGGGTGGGTCCCTTTTAACCTGGACTCAGGCACATGGTCCCAGCACACCCGATCCCCCTCCCCCATCAGTCTCCTTCCTTTCTCAGCCGGAAAACAGCCTAGTCTCCTGAGGCCTCTTCTGCAGCTGCAAGCACCCGCCCAGCCCCCGGGCCAGCCAGAGGCCTGGACCTAGGTCTCCAGTGTTCCCTAAGCCCAGGCGGTCCCCACACATCTCAGCCTCGAAGGCAGAGGAGTAAAAGCCCTGCTGCACGGAGGCCCCTTTTGGGCATGTGTCCAGTGCTCTGGTCTCCTCAGGGGGCCGTGCAGCTACCCTCACTGCTCCCATCCGCATCCCCAGGTCTGCTGGAGCACGGCCGGAACTGGTCGGCCATTGCTCGCATGGTGGGCTCCAAGACAGTATCCCAGTGTAAGAACTTCTACTTTAACTACAAGAAGAGGCAGAACCTGGATGACATCCTGCAGCAACACAAGCTGAAGATGGTAAGTGTCGAAGGGGGGGGTGGGGGGCTGTCCAGGGACGCCCGGGCCCTGCAGGCTGCTCCACAGTCTCCTGGGGGTCTGGTCAGCACTGTGCACTAGTTACGGTCTGCTGGGCACGGTGGGTAGGGACACCCCTCCTCTGCCTTTCAGAGGTGACTTCTGCTTTCCCATCTTAGTACCCACCCCCACTATGGGCACGGAGGTGGCCTCAGAGCTCACCTGGGGCCTGGGGAAGGAGCCTCGGAGCCGGCATGGACTGAGCCGGATCCCACTTGTCAGCAGGTTAGAATGAGGGCCGGAGGCAGATGGGCCATGGGCTCCTGTCTCCTCTTCCCCTCCATTCTCCATGACCTTCCTTATAGCTTTGGGACCACTGTGGGGAGGGCTCACGTCGAGTGTGCAGGTGGCCTCTGAGAAGTAGACGTGCCTGGTAACTCTGACCCTTTGGTGGTGGTTGGGTGGGTGGGGGTATGACTCGCCTGCCTTTTCTGTCATTCTTGTGCATTTATGTTGACATGTGGGTGGAGTTGCCAGTTTACAGGTGGAGAAACTGAGGCTTAGCCAGGTGTGGGTGCTCTTTCAGAGATCCTCAGGGACTTGCTCTCCACACTGGGCTGGGGGTGAGGGAGGCTGCGTTTCTTGTAGACACCAAGTTGTGTCTGTGGATGGGGCGCCCTCCACACTCTGCCGTCTCCCTGTTGTCTTAGCAGCTTTGGCTTAGTTTCCCACCCCATCCCCATCACTCCAGTCATGCTGCCCCCTCTGCTGTTCACAGAAGGCCTGCTGCTTCCTGAAGTCTGTCAGAGCTGGAGCTCCATCTTGATCCTGCCCCCCATAGCTGTGGGCGGAGTCTGTAGGGGTGCCCACGGGTAGGGGCTGAGCATTCCTGGGGTGGTGCGGGACTGGTGCTGGGCTGAGCATTTCCCCTGACCAGGGGTCTTCTTCCTTCTCCCTTCCCCTCTTCCTCTGTGGAGGGGCCAGGCTCCCAACCTGGATGGAACCAGCCCCAATAGCCCAGGCCGCCTCAGCCACCTACTGTGTCCCCAGTGTCTGGGGGAGAGACCCAGTAAGGCTCAGGGCGAGAGTGGTCCTCAGGGTAGTGGCCTCGCTCCCGTCTCTGTCTCCTCGTCTGTAAAGTGGAGAACTCCCGTCACTCACTGCAGTTCTCAGGAGCCTGACTGAGAAGGTCATGGGGTAGACTGGCTCTCCATACTCTTTTGTTATTGCCGCCGCCGGTCACCACCACCACAGCTATTGCCGCGTCTGTTACTGCATCTAAGACTCCTGCCTCCGTAACTGCTGCTGCGGTTCCTGTAGCTGTTACTACTGCCTTTGCTACCGCTGTTAGGGCAGCAGCTACTGCGTCTGTTACGTAGATTCTTACCTCCCTAACTGCTGCTGTGCTCACTGCCGGAACAGCAGCTGCCACTCTGTCTGTTACTAAGTCTCCTCCTCAGCAGCCTCTGTATCTATCTGTTACTAAGAGTCCTGCTTCCAACTATGGTTGTTACTACTGCTGTTAGAGTAGCAAACACTGTGTGTATCCGTTACCTAGACTCCTACCTCCATCTCTACTGCTGTTACTGCAGCAGCCACTGTATCTGTTCCTAAGAGTCCTGCCTTGACCTGCTAGGGTCGGGACTGCTGTTAGAATCTGTTACTAAGTCTCCTACCTCCAACGACTACTGTTAGAGCAACAGCCGGAGCCCCTGCATCTGTTACCACGACCGTATTACTCTTCCCTTCTCTGGTAGCATAGAGGCTTTCTGCTTCCGTAAAGATTTACAGCCTCAGAAACCCTAGACCGTGGCACCAAGAGTACAATCCGACTCAGCCGCACACAAGCACCACCACCTACCGCTAGACCCAGTATCGCTTCTGCTGTTACTGCGACTAGTGTAGCAAGACTTATTGTCACATCCTCTGAGTTATTCCTGCTGTATTTCTTACTACTACTACGTCCTGTAGGATAAGCACTGGACTACTAACCACAGACCCCCCCCCCGCTGCTCCTCAGAAACCCTATACAGGTCGCTGAGCGTTGGACCTGGCTCCATGGCGTCACGATTCCTTCTCCACCTTCGACGACAATGAGTACTGTTGTCACTGCAACGATTTCAGCTCCGGCTTGTTCCTATGGCCCTCACTCCTACTGCAGTTTGACTCCTCCATTTAGGACTTTCTCTCCTGTTTGTTCGCCTCTCCCTCCACAACCCCCCGTGTCTGCTGCTGTTACCACAGCTATTACTCCTACTCGATCTAATAATAATAACGCTGCTACTAGGAGGGCGAGTCGGAAGTTAGGCACCCTTCGGTTATATTAAGACACCCATCCACGGCTGAGGACAACATTGAGCGTGCACATGAAATGATTCTGTCAAATAGACGAGTGACCGTGGATTATGTGGAAAACCATTTGTAAATGAGCCGTGCCTCTGCCTAGGAAATAACCCATGACAGACTTGGGTTTTCAAAAGTTTGTGCAAGATGGATACCAAAACAACTCAGGGGAGACCGTGAACAGGAGTGTTTGAACATCTGCAAACAAAATTTGGACCAATACTTAAAGGAAGGTAAGTTTCTTTAAAAAAAAAAATAGTTACTGGTGACCAGACATGGATTCATCACTACGAGCCTGAGAATAAATAGTAGAGTATGGAATGGAAACATCCTTATTCATCAACTCAAAAAAGTTCAAAAGTCAACCATCAGCTGGAAAATTGATGCATACAGTTTTCTGGGATTCTCAAGGGCCAGTATGGAACACTATCAGGAAAAAGGGTCAACAGTCTATAGTGCTTATAACAGTGCTAACTAAAGAGCTGAAGCCTAAGCTTCGGATTAAACACCGAGGACTGCTCTCCAAGGGTGTTGTGATCTTACCTGACAATGCACGTCCGTACACCTCTGCACACACAGTTGACCCTCTGCACCGTCTTCATTTTGAGGTGTTAAAATATCCTCCCTCTAGTCCTGATATTGGCCCATCCGACTTTCACCTCTGATCTCCTGAAAGCAGCCCTTCGAGGACAAAGATTCACCTCTGAAGAAGAAGGGAAGGCAGCAGTACATTTGTGGCTCACAGCTCAGCCTAAAACATTTTTAAATAAAGGAATACCAAAGCTTATTGACAGATGGACAAAGTGTATTGAAAAGCAAGGAGATAATGCTGAAAAAGGATGCATTTGTCTTTTCTAAAAGTCGATTCAAATAAATTCTACAGCCAGAGTGCACAGACCTATCACTCCTTCTCCTCTGTGTATTATTACAACTGCTCCTTCTATTGTAACTGCATCTGTTGCTACAGTTACTCCATCCATTCTTATTACTACTTGTTCTACTAATAGTCCCATCTCCACCACCCCCACTCGGAGCCACTTTTACAGCAACAACAGTTAATGCTAGTCTTGTTTGGTGTCATCAAGTTGTTTCCGACTCTTAGCGACTCTAGTGACAACACAACGCTGCCTGCCTGGTACCCGGCTCCCTGCAACGTCTGCCACCACAGTCTCTGAACTGTGGCTGGAGTTGTCATCATTTTGGAACCAAACCCCCCTCTTCTCCAGGGTGTCTGAGGCAGCGGCCATGCAGGGCTGGGGTTAAGAGCAGAACTCTGGACCTGGAAGACCTGAGTTCAAGTCCAGGCTTTGCAGCCCTGGAGAGGTGACTTTTCCTCCCTGTGCCTCAGTTTTACCCGCTGTAGAATGAGATGAAACCAAGAAGGAACAATGTACAATGGAATGAGCGAGGGCAGGTCTGGCACCTGGCCCTCATTGACACCCTGGAAAGGAGAGTCAGATGGTGGGGATGCTGGTGTCCTTGTGGCTGCCAGATCCCCAATGGTCAAAGTCAAGTTCCCATGGGTCAGTGGACCCGAGTGCATCTCATCTGCTCCTAGACCGCTGAATGACCGGTGGACTGATAAATGAGTAGGCTGTATCCGTTCATTCAGAGAGACAGACTGAGAGCGTGGCGCTGAGCAGGGCTCTAGGACTGATGCATTTGTACTCCAGCTCTACCTCCTACTCATTGGTGCTCGTGGGCACATGGCCTGTGTTGCTCTAGGCCTCCGTTTTCTGCTGTGTACTTGGTATAAGACGTGGACCAGCTTCCTAGGGGCGTAGTGTGGAGCAAGTGTGTAGAGAGCATCATGCCTGCTCCTCAGACTGCATTCAGGAGGTGCTCACATGACTCTGTTCGTTCAACAAGCCTTTATTGAGCGCCATCTGTATGCCAGCTGAGATGTTTTAAGGGGGAGGATTTACCTGCTGGCCTGGGGCAGCTTGTCCTCAGTGACAGCAAGCTGATCCTGAGATCCCAAGCTGGGATCACGGAGGATGGTCTTCGGGTGGGCAGGATCTGTTAGCCAGGCTGAGTTACTCAGTGGAGAAGAGCCCCAGGAGGGGGAAGTGGGCCCCAAAACTGAGAAGCCTCTTGCAGGTTGTTAAACCCAGGCGAGCTCTGTGTGGAAGTCCTGCGCTGCCCGGGGAGCCCAGCCCGAACACAGGGCCACAAAACCCAATCTGAGTGATACAGGCCAAAGCTCATAAAGAAGACCCCTAGCCCCTAGCTCAGCACTTTCAGGGATGTGGAGGCCAGTAAAGGGCTGGACTCCAGGAAGACCTCAGCCTGTGGGAGGCCACTGGTCCTGTAGGACAGAGAGGGGACCCGGGACAGTGGGAAGGGCAAGGCCTGCAGAGAGATCCTCCGTGAGCATGGGCAACTTTGAGGTAGCAGGTGAGTGACTCCCAGGGCTACCTGGGTTTGCTCTTGTTGGCAGTGGCTGCCCTTGGTGCAAGGGTGAGCTCCCTGTCACTGGAGTATTTAAGCAGGTACATGAGATGCTGCTGGACTCAAGACTGCCCATCTTCCCTGAGCTTTGCTGCTGTTTCTGGGTTGCTTTTGACCAGCAGGGGACAAAGAGGAGAAACCAGGGACCAGCAGTGCCTCACCTACCTCACACGGGCCCTGGCTGACGTCAGCACAAGGCCATCGAATAGGCGAAGCGTATTGGTCCTCAATGTTACGTAACCTTTGGCATCAATGTCTTCTCCAGGGTTTTCTTTCCTCCCCACCCCATGTGGCCAAAGGTTACTTACCATCAACTGACCGCTGTGGGTCCAGGTTGTCAGCTCTGCTTCTGTGTTCACAGTCTCTGCCTGTCGTTTCCATCCAAGCTACCAAGCTGCCTGGAGACTGGGGCCAAATCCACCCTGCATTCAAATGCTCGGACTCAGGACAGCTGAGTGGTCCTGGGCAAGTGTCTTCGGTTCTCTGAGCCATGTCCTGGTCTGTGAGCTTCCTTCTTCTAGATGAGTGGTTACTGAGCGCTTGTTCTCTGCTGGGTGTTGCTCTAGGCACTCAGGCATGCAACTGTGAACAGACAGGAACCCATTTTCTCACCACTCTGGGACAAGTGACAGGTCAGCACAAATGGCACCAGGTGGTGTTAGACTGTGATGGGGTGGGGCAGAGCAGGAGTTCTAGGTGGGGAGGGATTGGGGGTGACTGAGTTAGAAGAGCTGATCAGAAGAAGATAGATGTCCTGGTGGCGCAGAAGTTAAACTCTCAGCTGCTAACCAGAAGTTCGGTGGTTCAAACCCATTTGACTGCTGCATGGGAGAAGAGATGTGGTGGTTTGCTTCGATGAAGATTATCAGTGTAGCAGAGTTGGCGCTATAGGTTAATGCGCTGGACTGCAAAGTAAGTTGGATCTGCAAGGTTGGCGGTTCAAGCTCACCAGCCGCTCCTTGGAAACCTTATACAGGGTCACTATGAGTCAGAACTGACTCGACAACAGCATCAACAACAAAAGTTGCAAGAGACTCAGCAGCAGTGGGTCGGTAATCGAGGAGAAAGGAGCCCTGGTGGTGCAGTGGTTAAGTGCTCAGCTGCCAACTGAAAGGCCACCTGTTCAAATCCACCAGCCGTTCTGCAGGAGGAACTGGAGGCAGTCTGCTGCCGTAAAGAGTTACAGCTCTGAAAACTGTCTGGGGTCGCTGTTACTAGGAATCCACTCCAAGGCAGTGGGCCATCAAGGTCAGCCTCTGTGAGGATGGAGGGACCTCTGCAGCTCTCTGAGGAAGCGTGTGCAGGCAGAGGAAGCGGCCAGGGCCCAGGCCCTGGGGCTGCACGTACTGAGTATGTTGATACAAGGAGGCCAATGTGAGTTGGAGGCGAGGTTGTGGTGGTGCAGGGGTGCCGGGGGAGCCCTGGAGACTGGGAGGAAGTGGTGTCTCGTCCTGGTGTCCCGTCCTAGAGCACATCAATCAATACCTGGGCCACGCTGGCAGCTGGAGGTGTCTTAGGTGTTGTTAAGTCGACTTGAACTCCTACTGACCTCGGGGTACAGCTGCCTCATGGGGTGCTCTAGGCTGTCCTCTGTGGGAGCCAGTCACCAGGGCTTTCTTTTGTAGGGCCGCTGGGCTTCACTGCCATCCAGTGGACCCCAACTCTTAACAACCCTGTGTTGTTGTTAGGTTCTGACCCGTAGCGACCCTTTGTACCACAGAACAAAACATTACCCACTCCAGCCCCATCGTGAAAATCATTGATCGCTGTGTTTGAACTCATTGCTGTAACCAATGTGTCAGTCCATCTTGTTGAGGGTCCTCCTCTTTTTCATTGACCCTCTAGTTCACCGAGCATGATGTCCTCCTTCTCCAGGGACTGGCCCTTTTTCTTAACATATGACCAAAGTACATGAAGCCTGGTCATGCTCGCTTGTAAGGAGCATCCTAGCCTAGACGCATTGGTTCTTTCTTCTGGCAGTCTGCAGTCTGTTTGAAAATTCTTCACCGACTCCATGATTCAAAAGCATCAGTTTTTCAGTCTTCATTCGTGGTCCAACTGTCACATACAGATATGAGGCGATTAAAAATACGATGACCTGGGTCAGGCTTCAAAGTGACATTTTTACTCTTTATACTTTAAAGAAGTCTTTTTGCAGCAGATTTTCCCAGTGCAACACCCTGTTTGGTTTCTTGGCTGCTGCTTTTATGACCGTTGGTTGTGGAGCCAAGCACAGTGAAATCCATGATAACTTCGTTTTTGTCTCTCTCTTATTGTGATATTACTTGTTGGTCCAGTTGAGGATTTTTTTTTCCCTTGAGGTTGAATTGAAGGCCGTAGTCTTCAAGCCCTAGAGGACAAGAACCTTTCAGTTAGCGGCCCAGCACCTTAACTACTGCACCACCACAACTGGTGCTGTGAACAAGCCTCTCTTGTCTCTGGTCTCCTTGGACACTCCTCAGTCTCAGCCTCAGTGGGAAGGGGGATTTCTGGGTGTTGGCCTTCCTTTCTCATTGGGCTCATCGGCTCTCCTAGAGGGGACCTTGAGTCTTAGGGGCAGGCTTACATCTTGGGGAAGACCTTAGGTCTCAGGGGTGTGGGGCTCCCCAAGCCAGGGGAGCCTCCTCTTTTCTGTGAAGCTCCAGGGGTTCCCCTACTTGCTACCAAGCTCCCCGTCCAACCACGAAGCCTGTTGCTGGTCCCTATCCACTAAAAATAGATTGAGGAAGAAGGGGGATCCCTTGGCTGCACCCACAGAAGCCACACGCCACACCACTTTCTTGTGCCTCTGGGCGGGAGCCGTGACCTCAGGGAGGAAGCTTGCTCAGAGTTTGGGGCAGGGCTGGGCGGGCCCAGGCGAATGGCCGATGCCGGAAACTGTGACCAACATCTCTGTGAGATTCCCCTTTCCTCATGGGGTTTCCAGTGCTGTGTGCTGAGGAGCCCCTTGTGCCCCGGAATAATCCCATCTCAGGCTGTGTGATGTCTGGGGACCCACACAGAGGAGACACCCCTGAGGCGACCTTGCCAGATTGTGAAGTGAGGTGACTTTTTCTGGGGACCTGGGAACCCCGGAGAGTTGTGGATGTCATCTTTTCCTCACCCCTGCTCTGTGTCAGCCGTGTGCCAAGTAGGCTGTCTGTCCTCAATGCCTCTGCACGTGTGTCACTAGATGCTTTCTGAGCCTCTCCCTGGCCCAGCACAGGGGCAGAGGGGACACAAGACACCGACCTAGCCAGGCAGACACATGGTGGTCAGAGAAAGACAGCTTGGTGCTGGTGCCATGCTGGGCTCCTGAGCACCTGGCCTTGTGCTGGCCAGAGCTCAAGGTCAGCTTGGAGAAGTGAAAGTGTGTTTCTGTTCCTCAGCACACCCGGCGGGTCAGCTCCTGCGTCAGGGCCTTTGTGCATAATGCCCTCCACCTGGGCTTGCGCCCTCACAATCACGTAGGGGCCGTGCCTGACCCTCTGGCCTCCCTGAGCTCTGCTTCTACCTGTGGGCCATCTTTCCTTCCAGTCTTTCCTTCTCTTAACGTTTGCTGCCTGTTCCCCGGTGGGAAGCTTTTGAGGCCAGGACTCTTGTTGGAATCTTGAAATGAAATGACAAACTTTCAGGCTGACTTGTCCCCTAGGGGCAAAACAAATATTGGTTCATTCATTCATTCCTCATGATGGGTCCCAGCAGGACGTGTCCCCTGAGGTGTTGGGGGCTACCGCTCTGCTTAGGAGCGCCAACATGGAGGGGCTGCAGGTAGAGAGAAATCCCACACTATAAGGACATCAGGATTTCAGACAAGCCGAACTGTTGTGGGGTGTATTTGGGATGCGATGGAAGAAGAAAGCCTTTGGTAAAAATAGCCGCTGGCATGTGGGGCCACTGCAATGGGGTGTGCTAGCTGCTGGGGGACCAGGATCACTCACTGTCCACAGCTTTGGCAAGGCCGTGGGCACGGGGAGTCCCTCGGCTGGCAGCGTGGCCAGGCGCTAACCCACGCTGCCCTGTGCTGTAGGAGAAGGAGAGGAATGCCCGGAGGAAGAAGAAGAAAGCTCCGGCTGCCGCCAGCGAGGAGGCCGCCTTCCCACCGGTGGTGGAAGACGAGGAGATGGAGGTGTCTGGTGTGAGTGGGAATGAGGAGGAGATGCCCGAGGAGACGGAAGGTAAGGGCTGGGGAGGAGCAGAGGTGTGTTGGGCAGGAACTGAGTGGACACTCTTAGCAGCCTCTCCCACTACACACCTGGGGCTTCATGCCCTGGAAGAGAAGCTATCCTGCTCCATCTTCCCCGGCCCACCATGAACGCAGCCCTGGCCTCCTATCTAGTGCCAAGTTGGAGAGAACAGTTATTTTCAAAAATGGGGTTTGGATCAGAAATCTTGTATAAGCTGACCAATACACACAGACTCACCTGTCATTCCACAGTGATTTCTAACAGTACACAATTGCTTCTGGTTTCTCTGTTTGACTCCCAAGTGCCCCAGATTTGGGTGGGGTGGTAAGCCACATGCTTTCCTTACTGACTGTCTCCTCTTTAAACTTGAGGAAACAGAGTCACAGAGCTGCTACTCCCCGGATCATGGAGCGAGGCTGTCTGCTCTCATCTTAGCTGGAGTCTGAGAGAGGAGGAAGTGGCCGACTACGTGGTCAGCTGTGAGACAAGGGAGTTGACCACATGAAATGATCACCCCCTACCCTGTAGAGTCGGCCCCCATGTAGATCAGAAGAACACCTCATAACGAGGGTGTGGAGACTCACAAAGGAAGCCAGATGGCCTACTCTAGACCCTAGCCGCCTGACCACTGGCTAGCATCCCCACTCTGAAAGACAAGCTAGTTCTTGACCTGCCACCCCGCCCACCACCCTGGAAAAACTCAACCCCGACTGTCTTAACACTCCTCCCTCTCTGAGAGCAGAGCAGCCCCCGCTGAGCCTCCCGTTCTTGGTATAGGGAGCCTCAGTCCCGCCCACCTCATTTAGGCATCTTTCTGCTGCCCCCATCTTCCTGCCCACCAAGTGTGGTACCCATTTTCTGACAACATGAAAAGAGGTGCTTCCATAACCCACTCCTGCAGATACGCTCCAGCGCGAGCTGCCTTCTACAGCCTGGATGCACAGTCGGGCCTCTCGGTCCACATCTTAAGTTAGACGACTCTGGGATGCTGATCCCTGCTTCCTTGCCAGCTCTGGGTTTCTCTTGCCCAAGTCTTCCTAAGGCCTGGCCGATCCCTCCAGTTGTCCTGTTTGGGGCCCTGGGTCTGTAGCCAGAGGCAGAGGAGACATTGGGGGGCCGGGGGTGGTGGTGGTGGACAGAAATTCCCTCCCCTCTGTAGATACTGCCAGGCTATCTGTTTGGCAGAAGGCTCAGAAGGAAATTCTTCCTTGTGAAAACCAGAACAGAAGTTGCCCAGCAGGAGAAGTATGTGGTAATGAGCCTCCCGTCACTCAGGGATGCTAAGGCCACAGTTCCTGTGGTTCTGTGGTGGTCATCCTTCCTTCAGCTCTATGTGACCCAAGGCTAGATAGAAAGTACTGCGTTCACCTCCTGGGCCCCAGCTGCAGCACAGGGCCTTAGACCCATCTCATAGATGAGGACGCTGAGGCTTGGGAGAGTGTGTTCCTGGAGTGTTAGCAGTGCAGAACCGGTGGACTCAGGAATCAGCATTTGCCTCTGCACCTGTGGTGGGCTTGCCCCTTGGGTTCAAGGTCCAAGCCCTAGATGGGGCAGGTGGAATCTGGATTCCGGGGGAATCAAGGAAGGCTGCCTGGAGGAGGGAAGCTTGGACAGAGATGTTTGGGTGGGACGGGAATAGGCAGGGGGAGGCATTGAGCCCAAGACCACACAAAGAAAGAGCGTCATGGGGATGGGACCAGCAAGCATTGTGGTGGTCTGGGCCAGGCTGGTGAGCTGGTTGAGGGGAGAAGGAACCGCTTGTTCAGACAAGCCAGCGAAACGCGCAGAGTCTGATAATGGTACTAGTGACACCAAGGAAGAGGTTTGCAGTCCCTGGGGGCAGCTGCTCTTGTTCCCACTGTACAGAGGAGGAAAGTGAGGGAGAGGGGTGGGCCCTGGCAGCCTGGCTCCGGAGCTGACTTGTGCAGCTCTGCGCTCCATGATCTCACCTGTGTGCAGCGCATACTGTGTGTGAACTGGGCTCCAGGGATGTGCCCCCCACCCCATAGCATCAGCTGCCCTGGGGCCTGGGAAGAATGCAGGTTCTAGGAAGGGCTTGTTGGGGTAGAGATGTTCACAGTCCTTGGGGCACCTCTAGTCCTTAAAGGGCCAACAGGCACACTGATAGCCAACAGAACAGGTGCCCACTTTGTGGATGGAGAAACTGAGATGAAGTGGGTAGCCTAGCTGAGTCATCGTTTGGGCAGGACAGGACAGGACAGGACTGCCCAGCAGAGAGGACTGGACTGGCTCTCTCTCTGTAACCCTGCCCTGTACTGCTGCAGCTCCCTGCTCCTCAGTGTCCTTGTCCACACATGTGGTCGTTCAGGGCCAGGAGTAGCCTTGCTTGACCAGAATGAGGGCCTGGGCTCTGCATCTGAGGGGTGCACCTATTGGTCAGCACCAGCCCCAGGTGTCCTGGGAGCCTGGATGCAGACCACGCCCCCATCTCACTTAGTCCTTAGATGGGCTGGTCAGACCATAGACAGCTACTTTCCACTCACCTGGGACCTGCTGGGTGAGGCCACGCCCATCCCCGGATTCAGGGTTTGGGGCAGGGGAGCCACCACTGGAAGCCACTGTAGGTCCCCCTTGTACCTATGGGCTCCACTCCCCACCCCCACCCCCACCCCACTGCCTGCTGGCTTCTAACTCTTCTCTAACTTCCTTCTAGCCTTACATGCTTCTGAGAGTGAGGTGCCCAGAGGGGATTGCAGCGCGCCAGGTACGATGAGGCCGCTGGCCTGGGGGTGGGGGTGGGGGTGGGAGCCCTTGAGGCCCCCTGTCCTCTGTTTTTCTATCGCCATTTGTGCTGTTGTCACTGCTGCCTCTGCATGCCCTCTGCAGCTCAGTGTGTGTTCCCCATGCTGTTCCCTGTCTTGCATCCAACCCGACCCAGCCCTTCTGTGGATTTTCACTTGTGTTCTTACCATGATTCTCACTGGTTTGATCTCAGCAGTGAGTGCCAGGGGCTCGTATGTTCTCATTTGACAGGACACTGCGGACTGAGCCCCCAAAAGGATGTGAGGGTGTTGTCTAAGGCCCCAGGCCTCTGGCTGTGCGTATGTGTTCAGTGTGCCTTTATGTGCACCTGCTGTATACCAGCACACTCACATTCAGTCCTCAGTTACTGTGTACTTGCTGTATACCAAGGCATGCACTGTTTTAGTCAGCACTGTGTCCCCACAGTGTGTCCCCACCCATGGTACATGCATTCAGTCAGCACTTCAATGTGCACCTGCATACCAGGCACACACCTGATTAGTCAGCACTTGCTTTGTGCCAGTCCTACGTTTGTTTCATCAGCACTCAGTGTATCCCTCTGTGTACCGGGCTCTGGGAGGAAAAGGATGCATGGAGCAGGTTCTCCAGAGACAGAGAACCAACAGGAGGGAGATTAGAGAGAAAGTGAGACGTCGATGTTGTTGTTCAGTGTTGTCGAGTCGGTTCTGACTCACAGGGACTTTGTGTAGGATTTCCGAGGAGCAGCTGGTAGGTTTAAACCGCTGACCTTGTGGTTCCCAGTCCAGTGGTGATGCTCCAGTGCCACACCAGAGAGACGTGAAGACGTGTGTTTCTGTGGAGTGCTCATGAGGGTTGACAGACTTGGATTTGTGAATAGCATTCCTCTGAGTTGGCCCTGGGTGGAAACCACGTCTGCAGAGAACCACTATGGCTCCATCTAACTTGGGCTGTACTGTCGTCCTGCGGTCTCCTCCCTAGCCCTTGTGACGGTGGTGATGGTCCTTTCTACCCTGTGCTGTCACACCCATAGGCTTTATCCATCTAAAAGGGGAACATGAAGCCCGCGTGGTAACCTAAGTATCCTAAGACCTCATAGTCAGTTAGGATCAGGGGCAGGGTGGGGGCTCAGACAGAAGCACGCATCCCCCCGAGTCCCCACCCCTCTGGTTCTGTTGGGTTTTCCAGGTATCAGGGATGAGGTCATGAGACCGCTAGGCTCTGGGGTTCTGTGGGGAAGGTTGTCGGCCGAGCAGGCTCCCTGCTGCAGACCAGAGAGGTCCCCAGGTGTGGACTCAGGTGCTGAGGCAGTGCCCAGGCTCTTGAAGCACCTAGGGTTGGGTCTGGGAAAGGGTCCCAGAGGGTGCCACCCCCCAGCTGGTCACTCACCCCCACCCTTTTCTCTCCACAGCCGCCATCAACAACAACTCCGACACCGAGAGCATCCCATCACCTCGCACGGAGGCCGCCAAGGACACTGGGCAGAACGGGCCCAAGCCCTCACTCACCCCGGGGGCCGATGTTCCCCTCCCTGCACCGCCAACCCCACCGCCAGAGGATGCCCCAGCCGCCACCGAACCTCCTGGCCCACCCCCGCTCCCGCTGGTACCCCCATCGCCCACCCCCACGGCTCCCAAGGAGGAGAAGGAGGACGAGGCCTTGGCCACCACCCCGGCCGAAGAGGGGGAGGAGCAGAAGCCCCCTGTGGCAGAGGAGCGGGTCGTGGACACGGGGAAGACAGAGGAGCTTGGAGAGCTGCCTCCGGAGGAGCCGGTCAAGTGCAAAGTGGAGTGCAAGGTTGAGGTGGAGGAGGACACTCACGAGGGGGCCCAGGGAGTGGAGGGGACTGCCGAGGCCGTGCCTGAGGGGGCTGTGAAGACTGAGAAGAAGGAGGGCGGAGGTCCCAACAGCAAACCTGCCACAGCAAAAGGTTCAGGTGCCCCTCAGGACAGCGACTCCAGTGCCACGTGCAGTGCGGACGAGGTCGACGAGACTGAGGGGGGAGACAAGAGCAGGTGAGCCAGCTCCGCACACCACTGACGGGACAGTCACAAACAGGCTGCACCACCTGCCCTCGGAGATACAGGGTCCCCTCGGATGTCAGCTGCAGATGAGTCAGGTTCCCCAAGGAGGAGCAGAGACCTGGGTAGCCACAGTGGGATCCAGGGGGAAAGTGTGGCCAGCAGCGGGAAGGCCCAGGGTGGGAACAAGTTCGGTGGGAGTGAATGAGCAGCAGGCAGGGTGGCTACAGCTAACCAGGGCCTGGTCTCACGAGGTTCACTAAGCTGGGGGGCAGGGGGTGTTGCCATAGGCTGTTATTGGTTCACCGGGAAGGTGTCACCTAGGGGTGGCTTCATGGGGTGAGAGCAGTGGAGAGAGCCCGGCAGGGTGGCTCCTGCTCAGATCTGGACTTGGAGATGGGGAAGTAATGTCAGGAGACTTCTAGCAGCCCTTCTTGTCCACCAAGGGCTCTGCCCCAGTTACCCAGGCTTCAGTGATCAGGAGGCCCCCTCGTGCCTTCCTGCCTGGGCACCGAAATTCCCGTGTTCCTCTGTTTCTTGGTTCTGTCGTTTGCTGTGGGCATGGGGCTCAGCCCACAGCCCTGGGAATGCTGATGTCCCCTGGGGCTGCCCGTCCAGACCCAGACAACTGAGAGTGGTGCATGTTAGTGTCCTTAGCGCCCAGCTCCCGTCCGGATGGCTCAGAATTGTCTCTGGCAGGGCGGCCTCGTCATTTGTATTTTGACTGAAAACAGTGTGTTCTGTTTTCTCATCTCTTGGAAAAGTTCAGGGCAGAGCGAGAGGGAGGAAAATCTGGCATTCATATCTGACGGGTCCTTTGCCCTGTGATTCACCTCCGGGACTCTTAAAATGTCGGGTTCTAGAACATTCCATATGAAAACCAGCGTCATGCAGATCATTCTGGGCTGTTGCTGCTGCTGAGAGCCGCGCCCAGTTAGTGTGCAAGCGCGGATGGCCCAGGGGGACTCTGATGTGCCAAGACCCGGCCCGTGGGCTCCTGGGGGGGATGGGGGCAGTTCAGAAAACAGCTCTCAGGGCTGCCAGGGAGGCGGGCAGCCAGGCTGGCCGATGCACTCTGCTTATTCCTGGGTAATGGGGTCAGGACAGACAGGCTCTTGCTGGCTGCTGGGAAGTGCCATGGAAACACGTTGGCAGAGCTCCTAGGCAGCCATGCTGACGAACCTGCTTTCAGGAGACACTTGAGGCCTGGCTGGGGAGCTGGGAGTCTGATCCCACCCCACCCTCTAGGCCCCGTGGGCCAGATCTGAGGCTCCCCAGCACCCGTGTCCTCCCACTGCCCTGCCCAGGACTTACCCCTCACCCTTCCCCGAGTGTACCCTATTAACTCCCAGGAAGGAGACACCTGGTCCTCTTGCCCTTAGAGGGATACTTCCCCCCTGCCCCCCGAGCATCTGGACTCTGACCAGCCTGCTGACCTCTTCCTGTTGGAGGCCTGCCACCCCCCCGCCCCTGTCCCCCAGGCCTGGCGGGCACCAGAGGACACAAGAGATGTGTCACTACACACCCTGAAGTCCAAGCCATCCTGGCTGGCAGCGTGGGCACAGTAAACACCGCACTCTGTATAGTGTCAGCCACCCCCTGCTGCTCCAAAGACTGAGGGGGAAATGTACCCCCTCACTCTCTGCCACTTTTTGCACACCACTCTCCCCAGCAGTGGTGTTGGCAGACGGCCAGAGGTGGTGGTTTCAATCTCAAGGCCTTTGGCCTGCTGCCCTTCCCCAACTCCATGTCCTAGAGACTCCAGCAAGTCCCTTCCCCCAGCCTCAGTTTTCTCATCTGCAAAATGTGTGTACATGTTCCCCTCTTTGGTCAAGAGCAGGGAGTTGATAATCAGAGCCAGGTGTTGTATAGTAGGTGCTTAGTTGAAGTGTTTGCTTTCTGCCACCTCCCTGGTTCTCATTGGACATAGCCCATAGCCCTCTTAGTCGCAGGGGTCTGCTCTCTGTCTGTGGCCTCAGCTGTTCTTCATCTTTCACAAAGTGGAATTATCTGTTGTGATTAAGATACGCTGACCATTCTCGTGACCAGCTGCTTTCACGCAGTTTGGTGCGTTCAGGCTCCGTCTGTGTTGTGGTGACGGTCAGTGCAAATAGTATTGCATTCAAGGAGCCCTGGTGGTGCGGCAGGTCCAGCGCTCGGCTGCCAGCCCAAGCGTCAGTGGTTCGAACCTTCCAGGGTGATGTGTGTCTGGAAAGGTGATGCCTAGGACCTCTAAGGCAGCCCTGCTCTGCCCCTAGGGGCGCTCTGCATTTGCATCAACTCTTGAGCGTGTGTGCTACACTGGTCAGCCGCTTGGTTTCTCTGTGGGCCCCCATTTTCCGTTCTCTTGGGAGTTCTTCCGTCTGCCTTTTGAAGACATTGCCAGCGGGCTGCGAATATGTCCTTAGCATTGAGAACTAGAAATGGTTTGGGTGGAAGACGCTTGGTGACATGAGGTGACAGTTCTGAGTACAGTGGACACAAGATGAGACGCGTGGTGGGAGGTGGGCATGCTGAGGTCGGTGGGGACGTGGTAGCTCGGGCTGGAACTCTTGGCTGGAGGGTGGTGGCTGGGCCACGAGCCAGGTAGGATAGGTGAAGTTGTGGTGGTGTAAAATAGCCGTAGGGAAGGAGTGGTTGGCAGGAGAGGTCAGCATGTCCTCATTCTGGTCGTCCCCACCAGCAGCCGTGGGCACTCAGCAGGCATGTCGGCTGTCTTTCTCTTCTCACTCCACCAAACGTGTGACGGATGCAGGTGGGCCACCAGTGCCTGCAAGGCATGGTCAGTGAAGTGTAGCAAGGGGCTGTGGGCCATGGGAGCTGTGTTCCCATCACTGCATAGTCCTGAGCTTGCCTGACCTCAGCCAGCACACAGACCACTGCCCCAGGGGATTCTGGGCACATGGTTGATATCCTCTTACTGCTGCTGATTAACCCAGGCAGTGTGATGAGCAGCCAAGCCCATCCCCTCTGCCCCCCCCAAACTGGCCACAGTCCCTGCATTCAGCTCCAGATATGTGGGACCGTGGGCTTCTTCAGAAACCTAGGCTATGTGTTGACATGGTTGTGTTCCCTGGTCCTGCCTGCTGTGGGGCCTGAGCCTCCCAGGTCTGTAGGAGGCGTCGTCTCTCCAAATGCCTTAAATGCAGGGTGGCTTCATCTGCTTGATGCCTGAGTTTGGGGACCAGGCTTTGGTTCTGTGGCTTTTGTTCCTGGGGAATCTGGATGGGTGGCAACTGGACCTCAGAGGGACCCCTAGGTGTGGCCGGCCCGTTTCCACCTCCACCCTAATGTCCAGTCAACATTCTAGGGAGACACTGCGGACAGTGGCTAAATGACCACATCTGCTCTCCTGGCTGCCCTCACTGGTTTTTCCAGCACCTTCTAGACCTTTCCAGGTCTTGAGGCCTGAGGCAGGGCCCCCTCCCGAGACCCAGCTGTGAGCTGCGGCCACCTGGTACTGACCCTCAACTTCCTCACATGCAGGTTGTTGTCTCCGAGGCCCAGCCTACTCAATTCCGCTGGGGATGCCAGAGCCCACACCTCAAGCCAGAAGCCATTGGACCTGAAGCAGCTGAAGCAACGGGCAGCTGCCATTCCCCCCATCGTAAGTGTTCCCCCTACCTTCCCCCCATCGTAAGCGTTCCCCCTACCTTCCCCCATTGTAAGTGCTGCCCCCACCTTCTCCTCATCGTATATGTAAATGCTGCCCCCACCTTCCCCCATCCTAAGTGCTCCCCCCACCTTCCCCCATCATGCTGCTCCTACCTTCCCCCCATAGTAAATGCTGCCCCACCTTCCCCCATCCTAAGTGCTCCCCCCACCTTCCCCCATCATGCTGCTCCTACCTTCCCCCCATAGTAAATGCTGCCCCACCTTCCCCCATCCTAAGTGCTTCCCCCCACCTTGCCCCCATCGTAAGTGCTCCCCTGCCTTCCCCCATCCTAAGTGCTGGACTCCCCACCATCTCCCACTGTTCCCCCTTCATACCTGCTGACCCACCCTGGGGCTCCTTGCAGAGCAAGGAAGCAGCCTGATGCTGACTTCCTGTCCACCGGCCACCATGCAGCTGAGGTGGCTGGGCTCCACCTGTGTCCACTCACTGTCCTCCCTCCCTGCTCTGTTTCCTGAGAAATCCCAGGGCGCTGAGGCTAAGGGAGCAGGGAGCCAGGATGGGAGCTGCATGCGCCCCCTCGTTACCCCCACGCCTCATCAGTGTCCCCGGAGCTAGCAGCTGCCATCAATAGCTTCCTGAGCTCCTCCCCAGCTGCACACAGCCCCTCATGCCCCAGACCTCTCAGCTGCTGGGGTATTCTTACTGCAAGAGGAGGATGGGGCCCCAGGCCTCGTTTCTGCCCTGTGAAGGTCCTTCTGGGAGTTTCAGGAGCCTGGAAGTGCAGGTGGCACTGGGCTTCTAAGAGTATCTGAGGCCTCTGGCCTGAAAGACCCCAACAAGTCCCCCTGGGTGGTGGGCTCCTGGTGCTGCCTTGGGCTGCCAAGCCTGTTTCTCTGGCAGATTTTGAGGTGTAGAGGATGGAGTTGGAGGGAGAAAGGGGGTCTTGGGATGGGTCTACCTTCTGGACGCCAGCTCATCCTTGCCACTGGTCAGTGTGCCTTTGCCTCACTTCTTTGTCCAGGCTGGTCAACATGGGATGCAGGAGCTTACCCTGACCTGGGCCCTCTTCTCCCTGTTTCTCTCCGCAGGTCACTAAAGCCCATGAGCCCCCCCGGGAAGATGCGGCACCCCCAGCCCCACCCCCCCCACAGCACCTGCAGCCAGAGAGTGATGCCCCCCAGCCTCCCAGCAGCAGCCCTCGAGGCAGAAGCAGGAGCCCCGCACCTCCCACTGAGAAGGACGGTAAGCGTGTCCCAGAGACTAAGGGGTCTGGGTTGTGAGGGGCCCTGGAACCAGATGTCTCTGAGTTTTGAGCAGCTGCTGCCAGGTCGATGGTGGGTGTGAGACAGCAGGGAGTGGTGGGGACTTGGGCGAATTGAAGACGAGAGGAAGTCAGCTTCAGCCAAGCCTCTTTGTGTGGAACTATCCGCCTAGTGGTTTTTCCGGAGTAATCTGTCTTCTCATGAGCGCCCTCCCAGTTGTTTGACATCGAAAACTTTTTCAGTGTTGTTGGAAGCACTGTGTGTACACGGAAGTGTGTCTGGCCTGACTGAGGCGGTGTGATTCAGCCCTTCTGGGTCAGGCTCTGTGCCTGGAACTCCCCACTGCCGAGGGCACTGGGCGACTTCCCAGGCAGCCATGTGACCTCAGTTGCCCTGTTTGGATCTTCTTGGCACTAGGAGAAGATCAAGGTCAGGAGACGGGCGGGGCCTAGCTTCCTGTTCCCGGATTGCCTCTCTGTCCAATCCCCACTGGACCAGGAGACTCTGAGCCCATGTCCCCAAGAGGCACCCTTCCACATGAGCATGACTGGCGGTGGAGGACATTAGCAGTGTGGAGGTGTGGCTGGGCCAGGGTCCCCTCCGGTTAGCCCAGGCACCCCCTAACCTCTTAAGGACAGGCTCAGGAGCCATGAGTCCTCAGTCTGTGTCTCTAGAAAGCTAGGCTGGCCTGCGGCCATGAGCTGGGCACGTCAGAGGACAAAGGGCAGAGGTGGCCCCAAGAAGGAGGTTCATGCTTCCCACTAGTGCCCCAGCCCACCTGGTACTCCCCGTCTAATCCACCTGCCTTGTCAGACTCCCACCTACTCTCCCTCCACCTATTGTAGGAAGTATGGGCTGACACCTACACGGGCTACTGGCCAACCCCGGTGACAGCCACACTGCTGGGCTGTGAGACTGGGTCTTCTGTGGGGTGGGCCCTCAGCATGTGGAGCAGAAACTGGCACTTGAACTTCAGAAGTCGCTGCATTACAGGAAGGTGGGGTGGGCAGGGGAGGGGGCAGAGGAGGAGATGGGGTGGTATAGTAGTGGGCAGTGTGGGCATTATGTGAGTGAGGGTGGATAGTGACCGGATTCCTCCTTTGGGAAGCTGTCTTTCTGTCTTTCTTTTCTCTGGATGTTGTTGAGGATTACAGGGTTGAAAGGAGCTCTGATAGCGTAGTGGTTCCAAGTCAGGCTACTAATCTCAAGATCAGCGATTAGAAACTATCAGTCATTCCATGGGAGTAGGATGAGGCTTTCTGCTCTTGTAAAGATTTGATTACTGGGTTGGCACACCGCCAACACCACCACAAGCACGGGGCGAGGGCAGGAGGTCCTGAGTTAGACAGGAGTCACCTCTGGTGGAAATGGGAGTAAAGGAGTTGGCTTTGGAGGCATAGCCAAGTGACTTGCTGATGGTCCATTATTAGGGGGGGCAAGGGAGGGCTGTCCCGTCCCCTGGAGGCTCCCCATCTTCCCACCTACACGGGTCTCAGCTCCTGGAGTGAGGACTAGACACCAGGTCTGACCTGGAAAGATGGGAAGGTTTAAACCGGAAATGAATGCAAACCAAGAAGCCCAGATGGCTTGGCTCTGTGATTTTGAACAGGTCTGGGCTATCTTTGGGGAGTCGGGCACCTGCCAAAGTGGGCCGAGGGACCAGTGCTGCCTGCAGGGTACATGAGTAGCATGGAGCACTTGCTGTCTGGGCTGCCCGCAGGGCTGCATGGGCATATATAGCTGACATCTCTGGGCCAAAGGAAGCCGATTGCTCCTTGGACCCAAGGCTAGCACCCCCCTCCCACCTCAAGGTTCTCCCCAACCCTTAGCACGGCCAGACACACACGGCTGGTTGGCAGAGTCCAGTGTTCTAGACCAGCCTGATCTAGAGTTATGTCTCCATTAGAGACAGGTGGTAAGTCACTCCTTGTGTTCTGCCAGTCTCACCAGGCGGCCATGGAACATGAAGGACCATAGAGTTGGGAGAGTGGAGTGTGTGCAGCGCTTGTCGGCTGTGCCCATATCAGGCATCACTAATCTATCCCTGCTTTCTTGACAGCCCTTTCGAATCTGTTCATCGTCCCTCCTGCCTAGTTATGGTCCCTGGGAACAGTCTTAGAGAACAGGGCACGCTTAGGACAGGTTCCAGCCGAGGGCAGGAGGTTAGCAGAAGGAACCCTTTGAGGACAGACCCAAGTCCCTGACCCCTAGCTATGCCTACCAGGTATCCCCAGACCTAAGAACCTGGGAACGGTGCCCTCCTCCAAGCAGCATAGCTCAGTGGTAATGGTTAAGGTCACAGTTCGCAGCCTGACTCCCTTGGGCTAGGTGACCTCTGGGCCTCAGTGTTCCCGTCTCTTGAGTGGGGACAATTTTAGGCAGTGCCTATAGTGTGTCATGATGATTTACAGTAGGCAGAGCGTGTGCAAGCAGAGCACTACTTGCTATGGTCATGGTGTTCTTGCAATGGGTTGGGTCAGGATGTTGAGGGTTCAGATCTTGGACAGATATTTGCTGGTGGCTGTGGCTGAATCTTGTGCTACATCTGTGCTTCATTAGGCCGTCTGTAAGAAGGGCGGGGTAGCAGCCACCTACCTCCTTAGGAGCTTGGTGCTGAGGTGGTGGGGGACTAGGCCAAGAGCCTGGCTCGCAGTGTGTGCTCAGCAAACAGTGGCTGCCCTGGAGTTGATGTGATCCGTATGTGTCTGGGGCTGCGGCTCAGGTGGGGTCTAGGGAGGACCCCACCAGTGCACATTACCACTAAAGCATTGCTGACCCCTGGTTCAGGTACAGAGTAGGGGTCTGTGAACTTGCCAGTAGGCTCTACTTTGCCACCCACATGGCCCTGCTGCAGCCCCTGCCATGGGCAGTAATTGATTGGCAGACTCTGACCATTCAGATGAAGCTGAGTTTACAAACGTAGGTGAGGCCCCGTGGGGTTGGGTGTGGAGGGCCCTTGCCTGTCTGACCACCAGACATCTGAGAGCCTCAACCAACCCTGGAAGATGCCCACCATGTGCGAAGTGGAGGTTCCGGGGTGAATTTCAGTCCTGAGGCCTGGTTGTGGGGTCCCCCAGGGAGCCGGAAGTAGCCTGACCAGGTTCCCTGCTCTCAGCAGAAAAGCCTGTGTTCTTCCCAGCCTTCTCGGCCGAAGGTCAGAAGCTGTCCCCCGAAACCCCCTGCTGGACACCTGGGCTGCCTTTTGCCGTGCCCCCCCGGGAGGTGATCAAGGCCTCTCCGCATGCCCAGGACCCCTCGGCCTTTTCCTATGCCCCATCTGGTGAGTATCCTCACACTCATTGAGTTCTGACTGTTTGTCCTCACTTAGTACACAGTGTATGATGCAGCCCCGTGGGAGGGCGGTCTGGTCAGTGGCAAGAATCCAGGGGATCTCGTGACTTAGGAAATGCCAGGATTGGGGTTGAAGCCACGGGTAGCAGGGAGCCACAGGCAGTGTTTGAGCTTGAGAAGAGCAGGTAGAGGTGAGTCTGTGGTGAGCAGCAGCTGAGCTGCCTGGATTTGCCATCTCAGCCCTGTAACGGGACCCCAAGGTTAGTCATGCACGGAGGCATAGTCAAAGAGCTGGAGGAGAGTGGGGAAGGTTCGGCCAGTCAGCAGCAGCCTGGGCAAAGGTCCAGGGACAGGAAAAGAGCAAGCGAAGCTCGAGAAACTGGACCTGCTGCCCGGACGAAGCTTGGTGCCCAGGGAACCTGGGTCACCACTTGGGGGTGGGAGGGCAGCCACATCAGGTGACTGGACACCATGTTGGGCAGAACTATCCTGGGGACAGTGGGGAACCGTAGAAGGTTTAGAGTAGGGCAGGGCATGAGCTAGAGGACTCTAAAACACCTTTTGGTTCCTGTGAGGGCTTTGGGTTGTCAGGGGGCCAGGTAGGTGTCCAGGTGAGAGTTGGGGTCGTGGCCTAGGTGAAGGGCAGAGACTCCAGGGACACGAGGTAGAGAGTAGTGGCGCTGGGAGGGGGCTGTCTGCTCTGGGCCCCCTGATGGACAGATGTGTTTCCTCAGGTCACCCGCTGCCCCTGGGCCTCCATGACGGTGCTCGGCCTGTGCTTCCTCGCCCACCCGCCATATCCAACCCACCACCCCTCATCTCATCCACCAAGCACCCCAGCGTCCTCGAGAGGCCCCTGGGTGCCCTCTCCCAGGTGAGTCGGCTTCAATCTCCCCATCTGTAAAATGGGCACATTGGAAGGTGTGACCAGCAAGGTCTTTGGGGGTCCTGAGTCGTTCCTGTTCACTGGGGCCCGAGCTGGCTGTACCAGACTGGTAGTGGCCCCATGGGGGGTGTCCTAGACTGTGTGACATCGGGAACAGTGCTGAGCCCCTTTCCCACCTCAGTTTACCCATCTGTGTGATGGAAGATCGAAACTGTGTGCGTGGGGAGCAGGCGGTACCTTGGGACATACGCAGCCCAGCCAGGTGACGTTGTCACTGCATGGAGGCTGCAGGAGACGGTGACACAGGTGGAGGGATGCCACAAGGCCCCGGTGACCCCCGACCTCTGCGTTGTAGGGTGTGTCGGTCCAGCTGCACGTCCCGTACTCTGAGCATGCGAAGGCACCTGTGGGCCCCATCACCATGGGGTTGCCCCTGGCCATGGACCCCAAGAAGCTGGGTAAGGGGCTGGGGACCCCGTGCTGGGGTCGGCTTGGGAGGGCCCCAGCCCTACCTTATTCTACTCTATGGCTTGTGGCTCACCCTCTGGCCCTCCCCCAGTGCCCTTCAGTAGTGTGAAACAGGAAGAGCTGTCGCCACGCGGCCAGGCAGGGCCACCGGAAAGCCTGGGGGTCCCTACAGCCCAAGAGACATCTGTGCTGAGAGGTGAGGCTTCAGGTCCTGGCCCACTGCTTAAACCCTTGAGTATCTGCCCCATGGCCCACCCTTCTGCCCCTCCTCTCCATGGCCCGCCCTCTGCTCTCGCTCCTGTGGGATCCACACAGGAACATCCCCTCCCTGTGCTCTGGATTCCAGACAGTGTGTATGGGTGTGCCTTGTGATATGGGAGCATGGGACACCAGGGCACAGTCGGGCTGACTCTCAGGATGGTGCCTTGTGTTTTCCAGGGACATCTCTGGGCTCAGTTCCAGGAGGTAGCATCAGCAAAGGCACCCCCAGCACACGGGCACCGGTGGAGAGCCTCATCACCTACCGAGGCTCCATCACACACGTAGGTGGCGCGGGAGGCCATCTGGCGTCAGCTGGGTAGTGCAGTGGTATTGCGTAGGCTGCCTTTGGTGGTCGCCTTTCCCGCTTAATGTCAGGGAGCCTGTGCTTTCCTGGGGTGTCACCTAAAGTAACCCCTGTTTGTGCCACAGTGTGCAGAGGAAGGAACCCTGGTAGCATAGTGGTTAAGCCTTTACCTGTTAACCTAAAGGTCAGCAGTTTGAATCTACCGGCCACATTGGTAAGGATCAGAGCCTTGGAAATCCTGTGGGGCAACTCTCCTCCATCCTCGCTTGCTGTGAGTCAGCTCCTCTTGACAGCAGCATACCCAGTCTTTGCAGAGATTCTAATTCAGGGATTTACATTGAAAAGTTTGGGGAGCGTGCTCAAGTCTGACATCTTTGCCCCTCATCGGGAGCCAAGCGTTGGGATAGACCTCAGGAGTCACCAATTGCTCCCAGTTCCTTGAGGTGTGTCTCATTCTGGTGGGCTCTGCACACTCAAGACCCCAGTTTTGATTGACTCTTGAATCATTGAAAGAGAAGAGAGCCGTTGGGGCTTGGGAACCCTGTGTGTGCCAGGAGACTTTGAATGGGAGTTTTATAAATGGAGGCTGAGAGACGGCAGGCAACTGGGCAGGGTCACACAGCATCTTGGTTGAGGGCGTGACCCCGCACACTGAAGTCTCTGAAAGCCAAGGCAGCCGTGATTGGCTGTGCTCTCTGGTAGGTCCCACCTCTAAGCGCTGGTTTTCAAGCAGGGACAATTATTTCACACAAGACACTGGGCAGTGCTTAGGAGCATTTTGGGGTTTCCCCACATAGAGGGCGCTGCCGTCATCAGGTGGGTAGTGGCAGGGAAGCTGACTACATCCCCCAACACACAAGATGGCCCCCAGCCCAGCATTGTCTAGCTGACAATGTCAGTAGGGCCCAGGTTGAGAGGCCTGCTCTGGACTTTAAACTCTCAGTGTCTGCCCCAAGACGACGTCTCACTGGATTTTAGAAAACAAAGACCTGGTCACACAGCCCAGGGGCTGGAACCCCGGGGTCCCCGCCAGTTGTCCATTGATGGCTGGATGCCAGGCACTCACACAGTGCAGTGGTGGGGCCACCAACTCTGGGACGACTGCCTCCCCCTGGCCCCAAATTGTAGCCTTGCTCCCCAGAAAACACTGCACCTCATTGGGCCTCAGTTTCCCCATCTGTATGCTCGGTGGAGGCTGGCATTGGTGTCTACCCCATGGTGTGGGGGCACTGTTGAGTCTATTTCTGGCTCAGAGCAACTCCACGTGGCAGAACAGAATTGCCTTGCGCAGTGAGGTTTCCAAAGATGGACACTTTATAGAAGCTGATAGCCGCGTCTTTCTCCCACGGTGTGGCTGGCAGGTTCAAACCAACGCCAACCTTTAGGTTAACAGTGGATGAGTTTGTGTACATAGAGCACTGTGTGGAGCTGTGTTGTTGGGGCTCAAGCGCCTCTTTATGATACCACATACTTGGTGGACCCATCCCTGTGAGCACGCGCATGTGCGTACCTGGAGCTGGGTTGACCCTCGTGTCTGGGGAGCATCTGGGGCCCTGGGTAACAGCCAACCAGTGGACGCTCACCGTCTCTGTCCCAGCAGGGCACGCCGGCTGACGTTCTTTATAAAGGCACAATCACCAGGATCATTGGTGAGGACAGCCCCAGCCGCCTGGACCGAAGCCGTGAGGACAGCCTGCCCAAGGGGCACGTCATCTACGAGGGCAAGAAGGGCCATGTGCTGTCCTATGATGGTGAGTGGCCGCAGCTTCTGTTTTTCACGGTGGCACAGGGCTGGCAGGAGCGAGTGGACAGCCTTGTCCACCCACCTTACCATTTGCAGGACTGTCTATGTCCAGCCCACCATCTGTGGGCAAGAGGACTAGAGGGAAATGGCATTGGGGCAGGGTGGTCAGCATCAAGGATGTACGTAGGAAGGCCCTTGTTAATAACAAGTCTGAAACCCGTCTGTCCAGCTTGGTTTGTCCACAGAATCTCCTTGCCACATCTAGAGTCGAATGACAAGTCTCCAGAAAAGCATGGTGTGGGCAGTTTTCCTGATTTCTGGTGGGGGTTCAAAGTGGGGCCAGACATCTGAAGAGTCCTGTGTCTTTCCTGTCTGCGTGGGAGGCATTTTATGTCCTTGTTGCAAATTACAAAAAGAAAATGCAGCAGCGTCAGGTGGGCCTTTCTATGTGGCCACCCTGCTGGCCCTTCAAGGAAAAGAGGCCTGGGAGCGGTTGTCTCCCCTGCAGGAAGGCTTTTCAGGGAGACAGGGCACAGTCTGAGGTGGTGAGTTCCCAGTCACTGGAGGTATGCAAATCAGAGAGCAGGGCTCCAGCAGCAGCTCTTGTGAGCTCTCACTGCCTGCCTCCTCTGCCCAGTTCTGTGCCAGGGGTTCGTGATGGCCAGGGTCACGCCACCAGGCCTCCACTGTGGATACTCCTCCAAGCCCACTTGAGTTCCTCGCCCAGACCCTGGGAGGAAGGAGTTAAGGGAGTAAAGTGTGGGGGTGGGGGCAAGCTTCCTGGCAGGGGCGTGGAGATAAAAGCCGCTAATGGCTGGCCTCACAGTGGCTGGCAGCTGCATGCCCTAAATTGCTTCCCCTTGTGGAGACTGGCTGACTCTCCAGGGCCTAGCTCCCCTCCCTGCCTGCCTCTGGTGCACCCGCCCCGCTGCACCCTCCCCAGGCCCAGGGAAGGGAGGGAGCACAGACAGGTGCGTGCTTGGGGAGTGGCTATTTGGGAGCTGGGCCATGACCCACTCTAAGCAGAGCATGCTGGCAGGGCAGATCCCAGAGGTCAAGTCTGCAGGGATGTTGAGGAGAGCCCGTAAGTAAGCTACGGGAGGCAACTGTAGCTCTGGACCAGTTCCTCAGGCCTCAGTTTCATCATTACAATGGGTTGGAATCAGGACTTTCAAATTCCCACGTGCTCTCTGGGGCCAGACTGCCTGGGAGGAACGCAGGCGTGGTGTGAGGCAAGAAGAACCTATTGGGGACCAAGGGTGGGTTCCCCTTGCATTGGTCGTCACCCTATACCCCTGCAAGGGTTCCCTGTTTTCAACTGCAGTATCCTAATGCTTAAGCATCAGCAGGTAATTAGAAAATTTCTAGAACAGCAGCATGGTACATCTTTAGGCTGGTTTCGACCACTGGCTTCCAGCATGTAATCTCTGAGATAGCTAGTGCACTGAACAGTTCCCTCATGGCCTGACTTGCAGAGACATAGGGCTGGGGTGCTAACTCCTCCCGTCTCGGAAGGAGGTTCTGCTTCAAGGAGAGCCCTGTGTGGTGGGCAAGGCCCAGCCTGAGATCCCTCTGGGCTTGGCTTCACCCTAGCTCACCCACACCGCTTTCACTCTGGTTTCCTTCCCCCAGAGACACCTCCTTCTCAGGTGGACTGTGTGTGAGTGTGCACCCACTCTGACACGTTCCCTGTGGGCACGTTTCTGCACATGCTCACAGTGACCAAAGGCACTTAGGTGTGACAGAACCACCTGGTGACTCGGCAGGGCAAGTCCGGTGGCCTGGGTTCTGTGTGTCAGCTCCGCTGCTGATGTCCACCCCCTGCATTTACTTGTCCAGGTGGCCTCTCTGTGTCCCAGTGCTCCAAGGAGGACGGTAGGAGCAGCTCTGGTCCCCCCCACGAGACGACTGCCCCCAAGCGCTCCCACGATGTGATGGAAGGGCGAGTCAGCAGGGCCATCTCCTCCGCTAGCATCGAAGGTGGGAGACGGGCAGGACCTGCCTGGGTTGTGGCAGCAGACTGAGAAGTCATTTCAACGTCCCCTTTGAGAGCAGGGTGGTGGCTGGTCCCTATTACAGATGGAGGGTGACTTCTGAGACTCAGGGCACATTGCAGAGCCCCGGAGACAGAGCTTCCTAGTTGCTGGTTCTCAGGGACGGTCACTCATTAGCAGCAGGGGCACCCGTTGCTGGGCGACGTGGCTGGAGGCCCTGGGCCCTGTCACCCAGAGAATGACAGTCCTGCCCTTTTTCAGGTCTCATGGGCCGCGCCATCCCTCCCGATCGGCACAGCCCCCACCATCTCAAAGAGCAGCACCACATCCGGGGCTCCATCACTCAAGGTACCACCCAGCTCCCCGGACCACTAGTGGGGGGTCATAGGAACATAGAGGCAAGGGTGGGGAGCTCAGGACAGGCGCATGAGGCTGACACAGGTGTGTGGATAGGTACACCACACTCATGTACCTGACAGGTGTGTACAGGTGCAACTGGAAAGCAAGCGTGTTTTATTCTGATTTGAAAACGGCCCAGTACCACCCATCATCTGATAGCACTCTGTAGGGACCACTCATCGAGTTATCTGTGTGCTCAGCCTTACGTAGCAGTGACTGGGTCAGATTTGGGGAGGCGGACACACTTCCGGCCCCTTTTATAGACGAGGAAACGGAAGCTCAGCCAGGTCAGTGGCAGAAGCAGCAAGTGGAGGCCATTCTCACTCTCGCTCCACGTGATCTCATTACGGTTGACCGCGTCGTGGGCTGCTTCCAGGAGGTTTTCCCATTATACATACGAGGAAACCAACGCTCAGGGTCACGCAGCCAGTGAGCTTTGGGATTCAGGCAGCTGAGTTTCTAGGAGCGGCCAAGGTGGTTCTGGCGCTGAAGGTCAGCACCCCTCCGGCCCTGCAGGGATTCCACGCTCCTACGTAGAGGCCCAGGAGGATTATTTGCGGCGAGAGGCCAAAATGCTAAAGCGGGAGGGCACACCGCCGCCACCGCCACCACCCCCACGAGACCTGACCGAGGCTTATAAGGCCCGGCCTCTGGACACACTGGCCCCGCTGAAGCTGAAGGCAGCCCACGAGGGCCTGGTGGCAACGGTGAAGGAAGCCGGACGCTCCATCCACGAGATCCCCCGTGAGGAACTGCGTCGCACGCCCGAGCTGCCCTTGGCCCCAAGACCACTCAAGGAGGGCTCCATCACCCAGGTACAGGCTTCCTGCTGCCCTATGGGGGTTCAGGCCATCGCCTCTATTCAGGTAGGGAAACTGAGGCCCAGAGTGGTCAAAAGCAGCCTGCCCAAACGAAACGAAATGATAAACTGTTTGATCCTCACTCTGAAGGCCGCTGCTGCTGGAGAATACTTGATCACCCCTCAGAACAGTGCTCTCAGGTCATTCTCTTACTGTCCTTTGTTGGTGAGTGAAATGAGGCTCAGAGAGGTCCAACAGCTTACCCAGGGTCATACAGCAAGGAGTCAGCAGTTGTGAAACTCAAGTCTGGATGAACCTCAGTTGGCAACATCCATGCTTCTCAGCATCTGTGCCCCCCACCAGGCCTGGCAGCCCATGGGCATAGGGGGATCCGGTCTACCCCCCCCCCCAAGGGTCAGGAGTCCTTAAGCTACTCAGCTGGTCCGATGGGAACGAGACAGGAGACTAGGTGGTGTCCAGGGAAACAGCAGCCTATGCCGTGGGGAAGGTGGGAGTCTCAGGACCTTCCACGGCCTACGGGAGGGTCTGACTCTGCTTCCAAGCTGTCATGCAGTCCCTGGCACAAGTGACCATTGATTCTAGAATATTCTCTTTCATTGACAGTTTTCTCCCTGCTAATTCATTCATTTAAAAGAAAACATAACTAAAATCTATAGTAAATTGGATGAAAATTCACAGAGCATTCCATTTAGCAACTCACCCCTAATTTGGTTTCATCTCACTGATTGCATTCGCCTCAGGGCACTATCCCGCATCCCACTTCCTCCCTGTTTCTTTTTCTAACCCTTGTACTATCTCCCTGAGCACGGGGCCCCTTTTGATCTCATCTAGTTGTTTATTCTAAGGTGTGTATACCTGTCTGGTAGTATTGTTTATTTTACAGATTTGTGTATTGTTTAACTAAAAAAAAATCAAGTTACCTGGGTGAGTTCAGTTTCAGAGTAAAGATGACAAAAGGCCATAATATTGGGGTTCTACCAGACTCTGGTAGCGTAGTGGTTACGAATCGGGCTGCGAACCTTAAGGTCAGCGGTTCGAAACTACCAGCCGCTCCGCGGGAGAAAGATGAGGCTTTCTACTCCCGTAAAGATTTACACCCTCGGAAACCCTGTACAGGGTCGCTATGAGTCGGAACCGACTTGACGGCACTTAACAACAACAACAACAACCAGACTCTTAGGTGATCAGTTAGTTTGGCCTGTTTTTATGATTTTGCGTTTTGGTCTGTATTTTCTCCCACTCTGTCTAGGACTTTCTAATGTTACCCCTTCCAGAGCAGTTGGAAGTAGTAGCTGGGCACCATCTGCTTTGTTCTAAGGGTCGTGGAGACTGATGGTCACATGGTCCATTAATTCCTAATGAACACAGGGTGTTGTCATTTGAAGGACAGGGAGCCTTCACCGTGTCCAGTGTTTCCCACACCTACTGAGGTGAGGGAGTTGGGGTTTCAGTCTGTCTACAGCCTCCCATTGCTGCAGAGCAAACGTGGGCTTCGGCCCTGATCTTGGCACCCTGGGTCTTAATCCCTGAGGTGGGTGGGACTGAGTGGTACTGCTGGACGTCTCTGCACAGCGCTGGACGGGAGTGGGGCACTGGATGGGGGCGATTCTACACTGAAAGGAGGGAGGTTTTTGCCAGCCTAGGAACACAGCCTCCTCAGTCCTCCCAGGGGTCAACTCTAGGAAGGATTTGGCCCGCAGCTTCCTGACCTGTGGTGACTGTGGGGCTGAGCCAGGGCCAGGGCAGTGAGCCACTTCAAGGCCCAGCAGCACCCTGCCCTTCTTACATCATTTCATACATACATCAGAAGCTGAGCCTTAGAGATCACTCAGGGTCTGTGGTCACAACTTTGCTTACATCCCCTCCCCCAGGGCACCCCACTGAAGTATGACTCTGGTGGATGCTCCGCCAGTGCCAAGAAGCATGATGTCCGTTCCATCATTGGCAGTCCCGGGCGGACCTTCCCACCCGTGCATCCTCTGGACGTGATGGTTGACACCCGGGCCTTGGAGCGAGCCTGCTATGACGAGAGTCTGAAGGGCCGGCCAGGAGGTGTCAGCGGCTCTGGGGGCTCCATCGCGCGCGGTGCCCCAGTTATTGTGCCTGAGCTGGGCAAACCAAGGCAGAGCCCCCTGGCGTATGAGGACCATGGGGCACCCTTCTCCAGCCATCTGTCCCGGGGCTCACCTGTGACCACACGGGAGCCCACACCACGCTTGCAGGAGGGTGAGTGAGCCTGGGTGTGGGAGAATCCTCCCAACTTGGGATTGTACCTTACATTAGCTCGGGTCACATGGGTGTGTATGAACCCAGCGTCCAGCCTCTTCCCGCTTTGCATGAGGGCAGGAGAATAAAACTCCCCATCGGCCAAAGGCAGATTCCTGTGAAACAGATGTCAGACAGGCCTCTGTGCTCCAGCCTTCTTTTTCCTGTTCTGGCACCAACCATTCTTCCCACGGCACTCGGCTTTTCTGCTGTGTTCACTAATCTGTTGCAGTGGCCATGTGGAACCTGCAGCTCATGATTATGGGCTTATTAGGGAAGTTGTTATTTTGTGCCATTGAGTCAGTTCTGACTTAGAGCGACCCCTGGATAGGGTTTCCCAGAAGTGGCTGGTGAGTTTGAACTGCCAACCTTGTGGTCCAATGCTTATCCTACAGCACCAGGGTGTTATTCGGGTTAGAAACAGCAGTTCTTGTTCAGGAGTGCTTCTTATCCATTCCGCAAGCATAGCAGTCTGGTTTCCAGCCTGTTAGCCATGAGGTCCTGGGGACTCTGCCTTTCAGTTTTGCTGAAAAATGTCCAAACAGCACTCAATTCTGAATGCCATTCTCCTGCCCAAAGGCTCTCTGCTTACTCCTTCCGTAGACGGAGCAACCTGTTGCTGGGTCTCTCCACGCGCCTACCACTTTTCCACGCAGGGACCTCATGGTCCCAGCGACGTTCTCTACTTGTGGTTCTGGATGCTGATCCTCTGTTCCTGATTCTGAGATGACTCCTTTAAATCCCAGCAGGATGACACTCTCCATATTAGAGACCCATGCGCCCTATTTGCGTGGTCCCACCCAGTCATTTAACAGAAGTTAAAATACCGTGGTAGAAAATCCACAGTTAACTGGACCAAGTGTGGAAGGGGTTCTTCACCTTATCAGCCACTGTTAGCTCAGGTCCAAAACCCAGATGTGTCCCAACTTTTGTCTCCCAGTGACTTCCCACCACACTGATGTTTAAAAGGCTGCAAATTTCTCCTGGTGGCTTTGGGGGCTCTGCGTGCCCTGACTTTGCCCACTTCTGCTCCCTGTCTATGTTCCCAGGTCTAGAATGCCCTCTCACCTTAACCCTGTACCTACCCAGTGCCTTGCCAACCTTCAATCTCAGAAACATCATCTCCTCCTTCCTGGTCATATTTGCCATGTCTTAAAACACTCTTCAGACCACATGTCCTGCGGAAATGTGTGCTTACTAATTATCTGTATGCTGCACAGTTCACGAGAGCTGGGGTTTTGTCCGTTTTGTTCACTGGGGCAGCCCCAGTGGCACCTGAAGAGCTCACAGTATAAACCCAGAATCCACAAACCCACCGCCCCCGAGTTGGTTCTGACTCATTGCATTGAAAGGGCCGGAGTTTCGATTCTGTCTTTTTCCCTGTTCCCACAGGTAGCCTTTCATCCAACAAGGCATCCCAGGACCGGAAGCTGACATCCACGCCGCGGGAGATTGCCAAGTCACCGCACAGCACCATGCCCGAGCACCACCCCCACCCCTTGTCGCCCTATGAACACTTGCTGCGAGGTGTCAGCGGCGTGGATCTGTACCGCGGCCACATCCCATTAGCCTTTGACCCCACCTCCATACCCCGTGGCATCCCTCTGGACGCAGGTGACTACCCTGCCCACAAACCCCACAGGCCGGAAGCTCCTGAGAAGGGGAACTAGGCCCAGAGGTGGGAGGCCACAGTGCAGCCTGTGAGCAGCTTGGGTTGGATCCCAGTTCCTCTTGGCAGTCTGGGGACCATGCTGGGGGAAGCATCGTCTGGGGTTTCTCTTCTGCGGAACCAAGCACAACTTTGGTCACGGTGGACGGGCACCACGTGACGTCCAGAGCTTCTTATTAAAAAGAAGCATTCCTTAGGCACGCTTGCTGTCTGTATGTTGCGTGTCCTGCGTCTAGGAGATGTTTGAACCAGTGAACTTCATCGTAGAAGGGACTTGTGTATATTTCAGGAAGCAAGTGTTTTCTACTTGTTGTAAAGTACTGTCGAATTGGTTACGACCCATAGTGATCTTGTATAGGGTTTCTGAGGAGTAGCTGGTGAGCTTGAACTGCCAACCCTGTAGTTCAAATGACTTTGCAGTCTGGAGCATTAACCCACAGTGCCACACCTGGATTCCGTTGGACGCCTTGAAATCTGTTTAGTGTGATGTGCTTTAAGAACCAGGGTGTTTAGAGAACCGTGGGCGAAGCCTCAAGGGACAGGAGCGGAGGCCTAGGAGGGCGGGGGGGCTCCATCCTCTGGCTAAGGTATGGACCACCTGACCCTTGCTCTGCTCCCCCAGCAGCTGCTGCCTACTACCTGCCCCGCCATCTGGCCCCCAACCCCACCTACCCGCACCTCTACCCACCGTACCTCATCCGCGGCTACCCTGATACAGCAGCCCTGGAGAACCGCCAGACCATCATCAACGACTACATCACCTCCCAGCAGATGCACCACAACGCAGCCACCGCCATGGCCCAGCGGGCCGACATGCTGCGGGGCCTGTCGCCCCGAGAGTCTTCGTTGGCACTCAACTACGCCGCTGGACCAAGAGGTGAGTGTGGTGGACAGACCATCTCAACAGGAGTAGGCCTTCTTCCTGATCACCCAGGTTTTGAGGGGACAAGGGACAGACACATCCTGGAGCTGAGGGGATCAGGTGTGATCCCTGGAGATCAGGTGTGGCCACTGGAAAAGTTTGGGCATCTCTGGTGTTTCCGTGAGCGTGGAGCAGCATGTATGTGTGGACGTCCCAGTGAGCGTGGATCAGTGTGTGGAGTCTCTCAGTGTGTGGAGCGGTGTGTGGCATCCTGGTGAGCGTGGAGTGGTGTGTGCTGTCCCCGTGAGCATGGAGCGGTGTGAGGAGTCCCCGTGAGCGCACACTGAGTGACACACATTTATTGTTCATACCAGTTTGTCTCTGACAAATGTGTGTTGTCTTTGTACCATGTGATGTGTGCACAGAGGATGGACAGACCATGTGTCTTGGGTTCTAGGGTCCCTGCTGATTTCAAAATCAAAGAGATGAGAACATCAAAAGGCCTGAGTTGTGGGCCCCCTTGCTTGTAAACAGTCTATAGTTGCTTTTCATGTGCACATCAGAGGGTTTTGTGGACTAAGCATTGAGTGCTAACCCTGGGGTCAGCAGTTCAAACACTCCATCCACCCTTCAGAGAAAGATGAGACTGCCTGTTCCCATAAAGAATCACAAGCTCAAAACTCGTAAGGAGCAAGCAGGTCTCCTCTGTTCTCTGGGGTCGCTGTCAGAATAGACTAGCTGGCAGTGTCTTTGATGGAAGGTCCAGTCCGAGTCAGGGGCCCATGGGTAGTTCAGAAGAAGGGGATTGAGTAGAGGAAACGGGTTTCATAGGCATTGGAGGCTAGAAGAGCCAGTGGATGTTCTGAGGGCTTCAGGGCTTGTACTACACTCATGTGTCTAAAAGAAGGTACCCTAGGGCAGGGGCCCAGTGACAACAGCCACCCCTGAACCCCTCTCCACAGGCATTATCGACCTGTCCCAAGTGCCACACCTGCCCGTACTGGTGCCGCCCACCCCAGGTACGGCCGCCACCGCCATGGACCGCCTCGCCTACCTCCCGCCCGCACCCCAGGCCTTCAGCAGCGGGCACAGAACTTCCCCGCTCTCCCCAGGTAGTGCGTCACCCCAGGTGGGAGAAGGCCTAGCCCGCCCCACTCCCAGGAGACAGGTCAGGACCCCTGAGCGCTGGGCTGAATCTGTGGGCTTCTTGCCATTTCAGGAGGTCCCACTCACCTGACAAAGCCGACGGCCACCTCTTCCTCTGAGAGGGAGCGAGACCGGGAGCGTGAGCAGTCCATCCTCACGGCCGCCCCCACAGTGGAGCATGCACCCATCTGGAGACCTGGTAGGTGGCAGAGCCCCCTTCCTAGTCCAGGGATCCTGGCGGGAGGTCCCCCTGGCACCACTGACCCTGCACCTGTCTCAGGTACGGAGCAGAGCAGCGGCAGCAGCAGTAGTGGGGGTGGGGGCAGCAGCAGCCGCCCCGCCTCACACCCCCACAGCCACCAGCACTCTCCCATCTCCCCGCGGACCCAGGACGCCATCCAGCAGCGGCCCAGTGTGCTGCACAACGCAGGCATGAAGGGCATCATTACCGCCATGGAGCCTGGCACACCCACTGTCTTGAGGTGGGCCGGCTGGGCACATGGGAGGGGGCATAGTGGAGTGGGCAGATGGTGGGTGGTTGGCACAAGGATCAGAGGTATGTGGGTGGAAGGATGTGTGGATAAGAGGCTGAGGAGATCGGTAGCTTGAGTGCTGCATGGGTAAGTGGGCAGGTGAGTGAATGGGTTAGGTAGACTCGATAAGTGGACGGAAGGGAGATTGGGTTAGGTGATGGATACAAGGATGGGTGATTGGGTTGGTTGGATGGTGGGTAGGAGGTGGTGGATGGATGGATGGATGAGAGTAGGTGGGTAGCAGGTGGGTTCATGGGTTGGATGGATGGATGGATGGGGAAGTAGGTGGGTGGAAGGCTTAGGGTTAGATGGCTGTGTGACTGGGTTGGATGGATCGTGGATGGATAAGCGGAGTCTGTACTTCCTTATACACAGAAGTGGGGTAACTGCTAACCTGAGCACGTGTTGTGTAATGTAAGGCTCTGAGGTGTGTGTTTTGTGCTGGGCATGAAGCCACAGGTTGGCCAGCCAAGTAGCATTAGGGAAGCCTGCCTGCAGGAAGAGGCATATGAGGCTCAAAGGTGGCCTAGTCTGCCCTGTGGGGGCAGAGAGAATGCTGTTTGCAGAGCGCTCAGTGGGCATTCAGGTTGCTGCTAGGTGTGGTTTCCCAGCTCCTCATGTCCTCTGTGTCTGATCTGAACAGACCCCCGCTCAAATGCGACCTCAGGAAAGCCTCCCTGTCCCAGCATCTCCCATAGGCAGACCCATGCCTGTGGGCTCTCACTAACAGTGACTGTGGCTACGTGATTACTGTTTTCTCAGCTGGAACTTAAGCTCCACAAGGGTGGCAGCTTTTGTCAGACTTGTTTGTGCTGTAGGTTAGGCATTGGACTGCCATCTGCTCCCATAAAG